AAGATAACATGATTTTTAAGGGTGCATGTCAAGATATGGATGACGTAAATATGCATTTTTTAGCAATATTTTGAGGAATCGCTACGGCTCAAATCTCATCACTCTCACTTTAACATGAGAATCGGAAACTGGCAGCTTTTTTATAAAGTCTATCAAATACGGACCAAACTTTCTCCTGCATTCACCCATTTTTTAAACGATGGCCAATAGTAATTCAACACTTGAGCAATTAAATTCAACCACTTCAAATTCAACCGCGGTTGAGGGGAACATTAATTTGACTTTTCTTGAATACCTGGTTATCATATTCTGTTTGATTTGTGTGGCAATAAACATTTTCATCATTTTCTACACGTCGCACAACTCTCATTCCAGGCATAGAGTCAGGTATTAAAAAAAACATGTACAAGCTGGTTCGAAAAGAACATATGCAATCAGAATTTTTTGTAAATTTTTCATGATTTGAATTATTTATTTATTGACAGTATAAAATCAGAAACCCTATGCAGAGATAATAATATTATATTTTTAAGTTTGTCCGCCCTAATTTAACGCATAAATGTAAACTTGTTGCTTTATTAAATTGGTCAAAAATATTTTTGACCAATAGACCTAGCGTAAAAAATTCTCAGTGTAATGTCCTTCTTGAACCAGCTCCTGTGTGTTGCATGTAAAAATTTCTAGGGACCTTTTTTTAAATTATCTAAATAAAATGCTCGGATGTTAAAATAAGTTAGTAAAAAAATTGAAACTTTTTTTTAATTATTTACAGGCGGTTGAATACCTTGATTGCAAACTTGTCTCTGGTCTGCGTCTTCACGTGTGTGCAGGGAACGTTTCTTCTGACAGATAAGGATCGCAGCATTGAGGGAGACTTCCTCTGTCCGGCAGTATTTTTTATGAGAAGTGAGTATCCTGCTTTCTCTCATTTATTGTTTAAAGTAAAACGGCATATTTGGTTGTTCGTTTGAGACAATAAAAAAATAAATAAAAAAAATGATAAATTACAATAAATGCAACCTTTGTTTATCCGTCCAACGGAACACCATATTTTGTTTGCCCTTTCAGAATCTGTTAAAATTGGCATGTCTGATGATGTCTTGGTGTCGTTACTTATATTATTTACTTTCAGTATTTTCAGTTCACTTGATCTCCTCTTCCATTTTGAGCATAAGCCACGAGCGACTTCGGCTTTTGAAGATAACCCGGAGAAAGCTTTCTCTGCTAAAATTACTCGGATTGGTTTGGGCTATTCCTTTTGTTTGCTCGCTTCCATCTGCCTTCAACAATGTGTACAATGCCGAGAGGAAGATTTGCCAAAGGGTGAAATAAAAACCAATAAATTTTGAAAGAGTGCTCCACAGACAATTTACTTAAATTAAAAATTTGTATGTTTTCATAGGATATGTTATTTAATAGCCGAGTTGCCACAGTTATTCACGAAGTATCCAAATGTCTGCTGGTCCACGTCTTCATTTCGATGTACATGATATTTGGTAAAATACACTTTTGTATCAATTAATGTATATTAGCCCAAATAATTTACGTAATTGTCGCCTTCTATTTGTAGAAATGTTTAAGCTTCGTTCTAAAACCAAGGACCTGCGACGATTTAAGGTAAGTATTTATCTAGGTAGCTAAAAATCCTATGGTGCATCTTTTAAAACCATAGCAGTTTCCTGTTCAATTTTGCTTGATACGCCAAGTTCTCATATTACGCGTAGGAAATTTTACCTTTGCCCACTCTATTCTTTACCGACTTCCAAAATTAGGAGTGTCCAGTTCCCTTAAATAATAGATAGTTGAGGCTATTTTAATTTTTTGACCCCTTGACATGTCAACCTATTTACTAAGGAGGGGAGGCCCTCTATATGCAATTAAGGACCATGGATGACCTTTGGATATTCGATAGATCTAGGTGAATGGTGGATAACCCTAGAATGGTTAGATGCCATGACCCCATTTGCGCCCGCCACACCCCCTGAAAGATGCAAAAAATGCGAAAAACCGCCTGTTTGCATGTGCTAAAACAGTCGCCAAAAATCCAATTTTGCTCTAATTTGGATAATTTTAGCATATTATTGATCCCAGATAGTTGCCCTGCCATATTCAATAGCAATCTCAACTTTTTTGAAATCTTTTCAAGGCATACCCATGCTCAGGTATCATTCGAAAATTTACGAAATTTCAAAAAAGTTGAGATTGCTATTGGATATGATAGAGCAACTATCTAGGACCAATAATATGCTAAAATTATCCAATTTAGAGCAAAATTGGATTTTTGGCTACTGTTTTAGCACATGAAAAGAGTCGCTTTTTCGCATTTTTTGCATCTTTCGAGGGGTGTGGCGTGCGCAAATGGGGCCATGGCATCAAACCATTCCAGGGTTATCCACCATTCACCTAGAGCTATCAAATATCCAAGGGGCATCCATGGTCCTTAATTGCATATAGAGGGCCTCCCCTCCTAAGTACCAATGACGGATTTGTGTAACCACTTTTTATCACTTGACTATCATAAACAGTTTTTCGAAATTTTACTTTGCCCGCCGATTCCATGGCTCATTTTTCCATGGCTCGATATTGCCATGGCTTTGATAGATTCTCAATACATAATTGTCAAACATGAAGAATTTAATGAGACGGGTATTAAAAAATAAAATAAATTTTCAGGACCATCAAACTTGGAAATTGTACAAACGCGTTCAAAGCATGCGATTTGTGTACGCCACATCCGCAACATTCATCCTGTTCTGGCTTCCATTTGGAATAGCGATGTCATACTACCGAATTGTTCGCAAGCCTCTCAGCGAATTTAAATCAAACGCTACTCGTACCTACGTTTTAATTTTTGTCGCCTTCATCTTCATCTTAATTTTACCAATTGTCATCTTTTGGACGAATGAGCGGCCTAAGAAAAGGGGTGAATTGAGAGTAATTAAATTTATGAGAAGGCAACAGCGGAAGCGGGACAAGAAAAATATTTCTGCGAATCCAGTAGTTTCAGATTCTAGTGGGTTCACGACATTTGCCTGTTCGAATATAGTTGTTGCCATGGAATGTGGGACAGAGATTGAGGTAAAGATAACCACCAAAAGACCGCGATCCGCATCCATGCCTAATATATCTATAGAATTTACTGGAAATGCTGGGATTCACCGGGAAATGGATAGCAGTGTAAAGAAAGGGATTATTTTAGAGTGGTAGACTAAAACCACAGGTTCTAAATATACAAGGTGGTTAAAATGTCACGAAATTTTGGAACAATTTTCAAAGCGATAATCTCCATTAGTTATAAGATTTTGGGTTGAGATTTTTTATAATTATTATCAAAGCTGATGACGGTGCAGTGGCGTACCGTGAAATTGTACGGCCTGGAGCCATAACCCGTCGTCCGGCCTATCGTCTTTTCCACAATTTTTAAAAACTCAAAACCGTGTACATACTTCCTGATACACATTTTCCTGCGTGATAGGCTGTAGCCAATGATGGTTTAGTGAACCAAGGTTCTAATACATAAGTACTAAACTAAAGAAGTCCACTATATGCTGAATGGGTTTTAACACTTCTGTATTTTATATTAAGACTATCCTCTAAAACTTCAATTCATCTATCTCAAGCTAGGAATTTCGGCTAATGATTGCCGCATTCTCCAAAATCAGAAAATTGAGTTTTTTTCCGTAACAAGTTTCACTTGATGCAAAACATGAATTTTGGAATCAAAGCATATTCTCAAATGGACAGGAAGACTGCACATCATGAGAATTGTATTTGCAATAGTTAGGAAAATTTAGGACCACATTTAAGACTTACAGCCCAATACAACCCTGGAACCAATTAAAACCCGTGGGTTATAAGTTATTGATTAAAACCTTGGGTTTTTCAGGACGCTGTAGTGAGGTCAAAATTGCTTCGAGGACGGAGAGTCGAGAAATCTCAATGGTTAAGAATGATCTGGGGTATATATATTTTAATAAAAGGCAAGTTTGTTTCAAGACAAATATTTTCCAAACAACTTCCGGAAGTCGTTTTTATGGACAATTTTTTAATTCGACATTGTTTCGAAGAAGCCATACGCATTTTAAGCAAGATTGGGAAAAGAGAAATTCATTATTACACCAAGTCGAGCTATGGTTTGTACAGGCGGATGAATTCTTGTAAAATTATTTATATGTAACGCCCGTAACCTATGGGCCCGTGTCAAGCAATTAGAAGGAGACTCTCTAACGACTCGTGTTTGGGAAAGATGAGACGCAAAAGCAAATCATTGTGCTGTTGGCGCATGAAACTTCTATCTCATTGAGATTTTAGATGAACATAACTAAATATCAGAGTAATATAGACTTTCACCTTTTCCTATATATATTTTAAACATTCTTGAGAATATCCACGATCACTTTTACATTTTAACTACATAACCTATAGTAAATATGTCCCAGTTGTACTTTATGTCAATTATATCTAGTGTTAGGCTCCGGCTTGTACGGCCGTTCCGGCCGTACGGCCTGGAGCAAGCGCTCCACCCCAGGCCATCGTCGGTACGGGCCTGTGACGGTGTACAACCTGTCATTAAGTGGAGAAATTAATAAATAATTTTGTTCAGTTTGAAGATATTACAGGCCGATATATGTACTTTGTATGTTGACCATTGGACTATTGTGAAAATTGCATGTTCATTCTAGTTCCGCTAGATGGCGTTACAATATTTCTCACAAATCTCATATTTCCCAATTGTGGCACCATGTAGACCAAATCGAATTATTTGTAACCGTACCTATTGAACTGATTGGATTTATTGTTCAGATATGACATTAGTAATGTGACGTTGCAAGTAATTGTGCTTCCATGTCCTGCTTATCATTCGATAATTTGTATGAAAGTCACCGACGTTGTGACGTTGACGTCGTGCATAACCACCGATATTATCATAGAGTGATAAGATATCGTCCCCTTGTCGCAACAAATCAGAATAATTATAATACACTAATCGATCACCCGATTCAAGTTGCAGCCACTACTCGAACAATTAAAATCGTGGATAAATTTTGTTTAAAAATGTTCAAAGTTTCCCCCATTTTCGCCTTATTTTCCATAGTTTCCGGAGTTCAGATAGTTTTCGACAAAGCCTCCGACACGAATCAACTGCTGCAAGTTACCTGTCCGTACCAAGATGACTCAGATTTTTGGGTGTACGGCAATCCTCGACAACCCAGAATCGACATATTTCCGGAAAAGGTTGGTTTCTGGACGTCCGCCGAGACCCCGTGCAGTCTAATCTACTACGGAGGATCGCTCCCAAAGCCTAAGAAAATTATTCTCTCGGTTTACATGGCCTTGTCCGGAAGGCCGGCGAAGATGTCAATTTCCGGAAGTGAAACTCCAGGTGGGCCCTTGCAGGATATTTCACATATTGATACGCCAGAGGGGTTGTGGACTGAGGAGGAGATTTATTTACCACAATTGCCCGGATCCGGTGTGGCAGTAAGTTTTTATGAGATAAATTATGGTCGATTTTTTTAAATTAGTCCTTTTTTAAATGATTTTCTGTTAATAACTTGAAAAATGTAATTGTAATGCTCGTTCGGTTTTTGAAGGGCTTAAAAAACTTTAAAAATCAACATTTTGAAAATACGACCACACCCCTTCGAAATTTAGATCATCAAATCAGAAAACGATTCACAAAAAAAGGTCTAATTAAAAAAAATCGACCATAGGTATACCCAAAAAACGAAATGCTTAGAAGTTTCTAAACTGTTAGAATTTAAAGAAATATATTGTAAGTGAGTTAAGTGTGACAAATATTGTGAATTTGCATCATAATTATATTTTGCACATGTGTAAACAGCAATTAAATTGGACAATAGCATTTAGATCTTTTCACGGAACTTGGTGGCGTATTTAGAGTGTAAATGTTTGCACAAAGCTTGTCAATAATTAATTGTAACACAGTATATTTGACTTATCTGTTTTTTAACTAGTTTTTCCTGATCTTAGCCGCTAGGAATTACACAGAGCTTCTAGATACATTTCCGCCTTAATTGATTTACATTTGCGTTTTAATAAACTTAAAATTTTCAAATATTTGGTAAACATCAATTTAACTTAAATATTTGATCAGGTCCTAAACTTCACTCTTTTCGGTGACGGAGCCGCCTCCTTTGTTCTTGTGGACAAGATCATTATCGACCTTGGTGACGGCCCGATCGAGCCAATTTCCATCACGACGGACTATCTCGCCCCGGAACACTGGCCGTTCAACGACTGTACTTATGTGGACGATTTCCGAACATTGGGATGTCCTGTTGATCCACTAGAAGAATCTGAACCCGGATATTGGTCGCCTTGTCAGGAAAAAGCGTGTCGAATTGAGTATGGAACGCATCCCGCCGTCATCCCGCTGTCCGTCAGGATCACCGGCTATGTGAAAAATGAAGGTCAAATCATGGTCGGAATTCCGGTTGGAAGTGGCGAAAATACTTCATTTATCATAATAGACACCAAGTCTTCGAATGAAGGAGCCTGGGTAGATTATGTGGTGAACTTAAGACGACATCAGGAATATGTGAGTCACTCCAAGGCATAATTCACATACATTTAAAATGTTTAGAAACTTCAAAATTTCTTGAAAAGGGTTAGAACGAAAAATTTATCAAGAGTATGTCCTAAACTTAGGAGAATACTTCCTGTTTTATGGTCTATTTTTTATAATTAGACCCTTTTTTGTAGATAAGTACATCTTACAGAAAACAGGGCCTAATTATAAAAATAGACCATAGTAAATATGTATGGTTGATTGGAATTTAATAAGGAAGATTTAGTTCCCACTTTGTTGTCTTCATCCCATACTTTTAAAATGATTAAATCCATTTTTTCTGGGGTTTGACATGATGACAAATTTAAACCATATTTTTTCTAGAAATATGGCATTCTTTTGATGCATAATGGTGGAACTGCGGTTCTTGACTGGGTAACATTCCTGTTCCAAGATGAGGATACGACTGGTCAACCAACCACGCAACTACCGACGACCGTTCCACCAACCCAACCACCCACAACGACTGGAGGTGCGGGCAGGATAATGTCCTCCTTTTTCTCGACCCTAGTTATGTTTGTGCTAAGGAAAGTTTATTAAACTACGCTTCTAAAAACCTGAGAGAAATATGATACAACAATAGGTTTAAGGAATGATGTTGGTATTAGGTAACACACATATTACAAACTTGGTAATAAATTTTATATTGATATCCATTTATGAATGTATGTATATAGATGCTTGAATTATTTTTCTGTCTTGCATAATTCAACCGTTTTTAAGTTAAATTAAATGCTGCGATGGAGGTGATGCGGTGTGACGATCCAGGAGAGAGGGGACCTTATCATGGTAGTAAATAAGATACTTATCTTTGGGTGGGGTGGTTACCATGGGGTGATGATATTTCCTGTGCGGAGGGTGCTTATCGTGATTGGTAGTGTGGTTTTCTGAACAAGTATTGGGTGTCCGGATAGTAGACATCCATTTAAATACAAGATGCGTTCAAAATATTTTCAAACATGTATATATCTAGATTCATACACCTATCGAAATATGAGGCTCATTCCATTCGAATTTCGAATGTAGAGTATTATCATAAGTTTATCATAATTGTAACTATTGGCAGGATAATTCAAACCTCCCTATTTTCGGCTGTCACCTTAATATTAATTAATGTGCGAATTCATCTCAGCTTGGAATTCGTTCATGTATGTATATAAACCGATTTTTCCGGTTGCCAAACTTTAAATGCGTTCAAATCCCATAAAATCTTCCATATTACGATCGTGGAATTCTAAAGGGAGATTTTGCCAAATTTCTCAAAATTCGCGGATTACCAAATAAACCACCAAATACTATCCAGTTATCAAATCTAAGTCCAAAATAATTTTAGAACCCAATTTGAACGACATTTGATGAGTTTTGGTCAAAAAACTAAATATTTCAAAATTTGCATTAAATTCGCACATATTTGTCTCTAGCGCGAAAACTACCTATCGGCGCCCCCAATATTATTGCAAATTCTTAATCTACTAATAATTACGCAACTTTTGAGGTATGTCCGGGCAGAATCGGTAGGGCGGTTAAAATTCATAGGTATAATGGTATAGGTATATCTTAATTAAGTTTGGCTTTGCTTTTGTTATATTTCTTTAAAGTAGTGTTTAGATTACTGGGATAAATAACAAGATTAAGATTATGCAAGATTGATCTTTTGATGCTTTGAGTTGTGTAACTACAAGTAAATAAATATGTTAAGATTTATTACAAAGTTCATGACATGCACTGGAGGTTTATCAATGTTATGAATTATTTATACTAATGAATAGAGTCGGTTAAAATCTGCGGATCATTTTATTACGGCGCCGGCGTTTGATTGTCCGTTAGCATGACACACAACTTATGAAAGTTACAAGATTTTTGTGCAAAGTCACTAAAGTTCATTAAGCTTATGCCTATGCAGTAATGAGTATATATAATTGAATGATATATATTTAATGTTCCTCCGCATTTCATTCTCGAATATCCCTATTTTCTTAATAAATGTACGTGTGCAATTTCTCGGAAGAATTTGAAATTTAACTCTTACCTTCGAAACTTATGTTATACTATGAATGATGTGAATAATCATGTGAATAATGATGTGAAGAATCATGTTCAGAATCATGTGCATAATTATGTGAATTATCATGTGAATAATCATGTGAAGAATCATGTGCAGAATCATGTGAATAATCATGTGAAGAATCATGTGAATAATCATGTGAAGAATCATGTGAATAATCATGTGAAGAATGATGTGAAGAATGATGTGAAGAATCATGTGCAGAATCATGTGAATAATCATGTGAATAATCATGTGAATAATGATGTGAAGAATCATGTGAAGAATCATGTGAATAATCATCTGAAGAATCATGTGAATAATCATGTGAAGAATTATGTGCAGAATCATGTGAAGAATCATGTGAATAATCATGTGAATAATGATGTGAAGAATCATGTGAATAATCATGTGAAGAATCATGTGAATAATCATGTGAAGAATCATGTGAAGAATCATGTGCAGAATCATGTGAAGAATCATGTGAAGAATCATGTAAAGAATCAAGAAATTTTTCTTGCGCCCTGATTGGCCAATCCGAAATACCAACAGCCAATCAGAATGCTAGAATGTCACGGAAAATTTCGAACGGACTTTTGTAAATTATAATATAGATGATGATACTTTGTATGCAAATGACGCCAGCGTTGCGTATGTAATATGATATAATCTTTTGTTGTGAAACACCCTGAGCCTAATATATATTGAGCCAATTGGTTTTTGACAATTGAAATAATTACGCAAATTGATAACTTCTCTAGATAAGCAAACAGTTTTAACTGATGTGTGCATAACCTCAGGTGGAAAACAATACTACAGATTCAGCCAGGCATGTTTATTGTGAACATGTACATTTAATTAGTCAAATTAGTTATATAACGACTAAATCTGTGCACATGCTAGAGTTGAGTCGGTTATCTAAAATTTTAATTAAATATATAAGGCTTAAATTTAAGCCCCCATTAATTTAGCTGAAACTTACCAACTAACTTACTGGGACCTCCTATTGGCTGAACTTGCCACCATACCTGTGCAACGAAATTCTCCTTCACTCAGCTTCAATCCTTTCACAGTTAGAGAAATTCTCCTTCACTCCCCTAACTAATTGAGAAAATTCTTTCAGTCCCTTCATTCTATTCCCTCACTCTTTCCTTCTTTTGTATTACCCCAGGAAAATCTCATCTTGTCTCATCAAATCTTACACCGTCCCATAAAAAATCTCACATCGCAACCGACTTTTTCTACTTCAGCAAATATGCTAAACTAAACTAAACAGCTAAACTAAAGCGAATGAAATAAATAAATAAAAATCCAAGAAACCAAGTTCTTAGCTAATTTATTTATCTTACCCGAACCTTATGACTCGATTTTAGTAAATAAAATAAACAAATTGACTGTGCCCGAAAGCGGCATATCAACACTTCAGTACGCAAGCGACTGATTTTTAAGTGTGCCCATCCTATTAGAGAGGGGGACTCTAAAGGGAGCCTTGCTCAGGAGCAGTGAGTCCCCTAACTGACCTCTTTAGCTGAGAGGCACCTACCCCGTACAAACAAGAGCCGAGTAGGAATTACTAAGTTTCCCTGGTCCAGGATTCGAACGTAGAACTGCGTGGTGACAGTCTTACCCCCAAACCACTAGACCAACAGGGCTTAGTTAAGTCACATACCTTACCCCAAACTTTGATAACAGACTCAACTCTAAGCCAATGCTTCAACTTTAATTGGGACATCATCATGTCAAATTTCGTGATAAAATTAACAACTATGACGTCAATTGATATCGTTGTAATATATCGAGATAAAGCTGTCGCCACTCCTGGGTTAAACTAAGCACAAAAATCATTTTCTTCTCATTCTAACCACTATCCTAGTCACAAAATGACATATTTTCTGCTCCTCGCTGTCTCACTAACGATCCTATCGTTAAGAGCCCACAGCCTAGTCATCCCTGCGCAACTGGCCAACGCACGGCTCCCGACACCAAGGAGTGGCATGACCATGTCTTACGACGGTTTAGACACAGTCTACATAATCGGAGGATACACAGGAGGAAGTGCCTACTCCAAGGACGTATTGAAGTACTCTCTATCCCTCGATACTATTGAGGTTGTCGGACAGTTACTTCAAGGGGTAGAGAGAGCCTTCGCAGGGAGTGATGGGACCGGAAACCACTACATCATTGGAGGGCGGGTATATCTGAATTCTTCTCCTCACATATACAAGTTCCAGGAAGGCCGGGAGTCAGTGGTGACTGTGGTCGGCACTCTTCCCGAAGGACCCAGCCGTGGAATGTACCTCAATCTTCCCCAGCCCAAACGTCGTGATTCTAACTTTACCTGCCGACGCACCAACGAGTATGAACGAGCAGAATTTCAACGATCCCCAGGTCTCCATTAAGCACAATAATTGATCCATTTAGACTGCGGCGAGGTGAATAGAACGTAGAAAATTAAGTAGGCGTTTATTAAACCGAGGTAAACAAAAGTACTTACGTGTACATATCTGTCGAATTATCTGTCAAATTATCTGTAAATTATCTGACAAATAAATTACTAGGCTAACCCTCAAAATAAATTATATCTATTGAGGTTAATTCGACCATTCTGTTTTCATTTAAAATTTATCTCACGAAGGAAGTTGAATAATTTAAACCAATCATGTTTTTTCTGCCATTCCTCATCCGGGTCAACCAGCACTGGCGACGCGATTTGACACTCAAGCCAATTTTTGTACAGGAACGATGCTTGTGGCTAAATATACTACATATTATGTTCAATTGCATAGGGCGGTAGATCTGTGTATATGTAATTCTGCAATAAATTTGTAGGATTAGCTACGCACATATATACCCAAATTTTCCAATTCCCCAATTTCTTGGGGAATAGATTAAACCCAAATTGTTTAGAAATTGGAGAATTAAGTGTTGTTATAATTATATCTTATTGTTTTGCCAAGCCTTCAACACTAATACACCAAATGGATGCCTTCAGACAGACGGACAGAAAGACCTACGGAGAATGGACTAATCTTATGCACATAACAATATTAGGATTTTTTATAAGCTTGCACTAATGGAGCAGGAATAGAGACAACATATACACATTTGCAAGTTTACCAATCTTGTCCTTCACTAATACCATTTCCTTATCTTTTTCCTCAAATCCAAGATTACGCTCTATGTATCTAAATTAGGTATATAAAATCACATGCCCTAAACTGCACATTAGGTCTGCATGCATGCTGCATTCATATTCCTTACTTGACAATGTCAGAGTTCAAGTCCATATCTTGCTTTAACAGTAACCGTATTGTATTTAGAATGTTAAGAGTCTGAAATTCAGACCGATTGCTAAATAACTTCATATGATCGAATTTATACAAAGGGTGCCCTCTTGCTATGAGAACAAGCTTGCTCTGCCGTAACTGTAGGGAAAAAATGCATTCTCTACCCAATTTTTCATTAAAATTAAAAGTTAAAATTAAACCGGGCAAATCCCAAGAAACCATCCATACTCAACTCAACACAATTCGGTATTCTATTATATACATATGCACTCCAAGCTATTCTGATATTTATAATTAAACAATATTTGGATCAATAAAGGGTAATTATTGACAGCCCTCAAAACTCTCGTCGTGGAAAATTAATCCTTCAAAACTTCAAAATCAGTGCTAACTAAAAACTGTGTGTGAAAAGATACAAGTTGGCTAGTAAGGTCGAAATATCCATAATTCAGTTGAATATTTATATAGTAAAGAATTACGAAAAAACACTCTCAGAAGGCGCGATTTTTCACATTTTTAGAACTTTTTTTATGCACCGAATAACTTGACAGAAATATTCATTCATTATTTATTCACACGAATTGAATTGATATTCATTCAAGATTCATTTATTCAAAACTCCGAATAAAATATTCATTCAATATTCAAACACTTTTAAATACTGAATGAATAATATATTCATTATTAAATGACTGAATGTGACCATTTATCTCAGCAGCTACTCATGCCCAAATCATATCCCCAAAAAATGGATGATATGGTAAAGGGATACCTTTTGTATTTCGGTGCATGAAAAGGTCACCGCATAAATACTGCGCGATAACTTGTTAAATCATCCAGTTATTAGTTGCAATTTACAAAGTGCAATCCAACTTTATCTCTTCTACTTAACAGAATTTTACCCGACCGAGTCACATCATGTAAGATATATATTTTTAATTTTTTTGAGATCCGACATCCCATAAAATGGAAATTATTTATTGTCGATTCTTGCACGATAAGATGTACATATTTACGAAATAAATAAATTTTATAGTCTAGGATTTTGAACAAAAAATTACGTCCCGTTAAAAATTTGTTTAAATTTGAAATTTCAATGATTTAATCCGAAATTATGGGAAATTCCTAAAAATATTTACAGGCGATTCTTCAACTTCGCAATGATTGCCTTGGGAATATTGTGGTGGACTGGAATACCAGTGTGGTCTCAGATTTTCCCTCCATTTAACCGCTTTCAACCCACCGTAGGTTTTCAATTTATCAAAATTTTGATTGGATTTATTGCCGATATAAAATTTTCGACTATTTTTTAAGTGTAATCAAGTTGGTTGTGGATCAGCCTCTCCCCGCTGTGGACCCGACGGTACTCAGATGTCGTCCTGCAATTCCACTTCTGGTCAATGTTACTGCCTCAATTATCAAGTACATCCTCTAATAACTAATAGTCCATCAAATTATGGACCAGCATTTGACCGCTGCTTAGATTTCAGATAACGTCATCAACTGAATTTTTTGTGGTTAGTGTGACAATCGAGAAAAAAACTGCAACACGACCTTGTGTAGACAAAATGAGCAAGCAGAATGTATCTTTACCAAGTTTGGAACCAGTTGCAAATGCCTCCCCATCACTACACCGACCTACGTAGTTTTTATTTTTAATTATTATTTTTCAACAATTTCAATTCTTCAATCGCTTTCGTCACTATTAAAATAAAAATTGCTCATCTATATATTTTAGTGCGACTCCGTAAACACTGCGTGCAACCTGGAAGATATTAATCCATCAGACATTCAACATTATGGCGACATTTGCCGTACTCTTGGCGAAAACTATTATGCCGAAACGTGCCATGAAGATGTTACATGTCGATGTGGGAATACCTCAACAAACGTAAATATTTATAACCAATTTAAATATTTTTTAAATGCTCAGAAATACACAAATGAATACGTTATCCACAGTGCACTATAACCGGTTGTGGGTCTTCGCTTCTCTGTGGGGTTGATCAGCCTGTACCATCCTGTAATGCCACCTCCGGGGAATGCTACTGTCTTAATTATCAAGTAACTATGGTTCATGTAAAAAAATTAGAGCTTTTTTCCAAAAAATCTTATGTTTTGTGACCTTAATTTCTTGTGGGTGTGGTCATATTTAAAAAATTTGGGAATAAGAAATGAACCAAATTTTCTGAGGTTTCTAAAACAGTTTAAATTTTTGAAATCGGTCAAAAATTGAGGTCACAGTGAGAATTTTAACATACACGTTTTTTGAGAAAAAAAACTCTAATTTTTTTACATGTACAATAGCTATGGAATTATGGTCTCAGTTTTACAATTTGGCTGCGTTTCAAAACCATTGCATACAAAATATCATCCTACTATAAAACACAGCCCATAACTCTATGTACATACCGTGTCACACATGCACACCAACGTCCTTTTCGTAACACGCAATTGAAAATCCATGCAATGGTCTGTACTATAAAACCACACTTTTATTCTATATATGCATTGATTTTCGAAAACAAACAGTCTAATTATAAAATTTTGCCCATAACCGGTTGCCATGCTGTTCTTGTTGACACCCTTGGCAACGTGTTTGTAAACATTTGCATACGATTTTTGTAAATTTATTCCCATCAAAAGTGACTTTTACTTTGTTTCAAAAATTATTTTACAAAACCTTATTTTACGAGACAATTCTGTAAAGATTTTTTGTTTTATTTGTAAGTGTGACAATTTCCATAACTGCAACTCAACCTTATGCCCGCGTGGTGAAACACCAGAATGTGTCCTTGATAAGTATGGGACGAGTTGCAAATGTATGCCAAGGGGACCATACTCTCCTTTCGAGGTAATTAGGTCTCCATAAAATATGATATGAAAATGTTAATTAGCTATTCCCATCAATATTCCAGTGCCACGGCCTCTTTACTCGTAAAAGGTATGCAGACTGTAGTCTCCAATTCGTTAACTACGCAACAATTCAGCGCTATGACCAAATTTGCGGGCAACTTGGCCGAGATTACTTTGCAAATCAGTGCCGGGATATACCTGTTTGCGTATGCGAAGACTATCCGGAAGCAGTACGTTTAAATACTCCAATAAAGTTTACTGGTTGATAGAAATTTTGTTTTGATTTACTTTTAGTGTCGAATAGATGCCGATTGTCCCTGCCCAACAGGAAGTGTAGGACAATGCGATGTGAAACACAATGAATGTTTGGCCGGCTGCAGAGTTAGTTTATTTGTACATGGTTGAGGATAAGTTGACCAATAAATAATAATGTTATCATCAATAGTGTTCTAGTGACACCCAGTGCACCGCAAATTGCCCAGTTGGTCAAAAAAGTACATGTTCCGGAGAGTGCACTGATTGCAGAAAAAATGTAAAATAGCTTAGTCCAAAACAAATTAAAACAAATTTGGTCTACTTAATTCGTACTCGCCTCTTTACTTTAGTGCTGAAAAGATTCATAGGAAATTATGATCGATGCAAATAATGGGCAATTTCTAAGCGTGTGAATTAGTTAATTTTAAGTGTTATTTATTTAGTGTGCAAATATTCCGTAGTAATAATCATACACAATTTATTCACTTATATATACGTAGAACTCTTAATATAATTTATGACGAGGTAATGTGATACATAATTAATTACTCAAGTTGATTCTCTTATTTGAGGCAACGTGTGATGATCTTATAGTCGCACTTCCGCTCCAGCGGAAGTGCGACCAGTGAAAGAGAGAAAGTGAAAGAGAGAAAGTTTACAAAATATTAAAATGAAAAAAAGTTTCTTCTACTAGCGAGGTGCTTCCGCACCCTAGCGTGCGGATGGGAGACCAGTGAAATAAAAGCTCCACCAGGAGAAAAAGTTTTCTCTCCGAGCAGCTGCTGCTACAAGGAGCTTGCTCATTAACTAATGTAAGCCATGCACGTTATTCACTACTACTAATATCAACTTAAATGCAACGTGCAATTTGCAAAGAAAATATTCACATTTGAGAGGAGATTATTTTAAAAATAAATACTTGCAAAAGTGTGTGTGTGTGTGTGTGTGTGTTTGTGTGATGAAGGGTCATACAGGATGGAGATTGATATCAATAAATTGTAACAACAGCACCAAAGATAGGATGATAAATGAAGGTTTTATTTTCTGGTAAGTGTGTAGGTTACATGAAATATATGTACATATGAAAATACGCATGTTTCATTGCAAAATATTTGCAAAATTAAGCTTGGTATGCTTAGTTCATTAATTATTTTAGATTTTAGTTATGATTTTCATTATTATTTTTTCTTTCTTTTCAAGTTACATATTCCGTCTTACTGCAACATTGTGTCTTACAGCGGAAAGTGAAAGTAACTCGACCAAGAGAGAAAAGTTTCTTCCACTAGTAGCTCCAACAAGGAGCTCGCCCACCAACTAATGCAAGCATGTTCTTCAGGTACAGTTCAATATAGGAGACATTTTATGTAACAAATATTAACATTTTTGAGGACATTTATTTCAGTTATTAAATTAAATATTTGGATTAAGTTTGTGCGTGTGTTTTATTTATTGAATCAAGGGTCGTGCAGGAAGGATGGTGAAATTTTAACATTAGCTGCGAAGATATTTAAGTTTAAGTAAATTTTACTTAGTTTATATTGAATATAGTAAAAATTGCTCGTTTTTATTTTCCAGAGGAGCCATATCCTTTGGCTCCACGCCGAGAAGCAACAGGTGCTGTGGTGGTAATAATTTCATCAAACGTAGACTTCTTCAACGGTCCATTATGGAGTTTTATAATCAAGAACTGAGCAACACGATCCCCAAGTTCAACTTGATATGGAAGTTTCCCATGGTTGATTAGCATAACCCCCAAAGTTCCTTCAAAATCTTCATCGACCACGCCCCCCATGACGTCAATTTTATGCCGCAACGCTAACCCAGACCTTGGTTTAATCAAACCAACATGGCCCAACGGTAATTTAACTTGAATCCCAATATCCATCAATATCATTTCCCCTGCTTTAAGTAACGCTCCGGATTGACAGTACAAATCATAACCGCAGATTGACGGTGCAACTTTGTTGGAAATTTACTTTCAAAGGTCTTCCTAATAAAGTGGACCGTTCTATAGTCATCTAGAAGGTTAATATTTATACATTTTTTATTTAAACTTCAATTGTTAGTCAAACTATTATAATTATCCACTTATTTTTATATATTTGAAATATGTAGGAAATCAACTACTACATTCAATCCATATAATGAGGAGATACCATCAAAACGGGATACCAAAAATTGTCAGGTAAAAGAAAGCTTTCTTTGGCTTGGAAAATCGAAGTCATAGCTACGTTACATGATTTAACAAATTTTAATTTTCTTTGGAGTGTTATAGGCAAGAAGTGAAAAAACTGTGTATGTCCCATTATATAATCGTTATTTGAAATAATTATAAGATCTTCCGAATTTTTATAGACGCCCTGATTAGAATCTACTTCCTCTGACCAACCAACTTGTTCAGCTTAAGAGAGGTAAAGAAAAAATAGATTTCAGTTTAATTTTGAAAGGATTTATGGGATCCAGGTAGTATAATCAGGGTCTGTGTCAATCTTTGTTTGCAGGGTATTGCAAGCTGCAACCAACGATTGAAAATATTTAAACGACAGGTTTGCCCCTGTGGTTTGATTCTTTCTGATGCAGACATAAGCCTGCCCATTTTTTCTCCAAGTTTGGAGTTTTAGCCAAAACCCCTGACCTAGCTGGCCCTCCCAATGGACAATATTTTGTCCACTAGGATCGTCACTCCTTTCCCCTTCGGGAGCAAAATTAAGCGAAATAGGACCTTTGTAAGATGATGAAGGCACATATGCTTCATGCTCCGGAGCTGATGATGATGAGCTTGCAGGAGGAATCGTAGTACGAGCAACAGGAACAAGCGCCGTTGAAGGAACAGGAACAGCAGAAGGCGGAACACTCTTGACTCGACCTCTCTTCTCCGCTGGGGACTTTTCTGCAATTAATAGAAATAAAAATTTAAAGCTTATGATTACAACAAATTTCCCTATTAACATTTTAAAATAAACAGTTTAAAACCCCTTAAAAGTTTGAGTTTGAAGATGTGGTTAAAGAGCATGAACAACCCCACTTTTAAAAATGAAATTGCTACATCAGCTTTAGATAAAATTTTATATTAATGAATATTTCGTATAAGATGTTATAAATGTTTGTTTGGCTGCTATAAATAAACCCGTTTTGTAGTGTGAATTGATTTATATCATTAATTTTCCCCTATAATGTACAGATTGAAATTAAAAGCTTGCATTTGCCGGGACGTCCCGTCTTGTACGGGACAAGACAAGACGGGTGCAAGACAAGACGAGACGGCTTGTTGTCCCGTCTTGTCCTGAATTTGCGTCCCGTAGTCTAATTCAAGACGGGACAAGACGTATGCGTCCCGTCTTGTCCCGTCTTGTGGGAAGCCCTAGATACATACATCTTTCCATTGGTAGCGTATTAAATATTTTTAAATAATTTAATACAGGATAAAGCGATGCATAATTGGAAACTTGCATAAATCCATCGGCATGATCCTATTAAAACTAATGTACAAATTTTTGGATCGTTTTTTAGCTTACACGTAATTCAAAGCTGTTGGTAAGCCCCGGTGGAGTTTATATCTGCTTCCCAATTTTATAAATTAATTGCGAAAAACTCTAGCAAATCAATGCTTAGTCCAAGGTTAGAAATTAGCCTTGCAAAAATATACAAACTTAATTTCTGGAGCATTTACTCTGAGAATAATGTAGTTACCGCTTTTACATATCTTTGCACAAATGCATATGGACGTCAAGAAATTGTTACTAGTCAAATTGTTGTATTTATTCATGTATTTTCTCAACCCATAGTACACAGATAACATGAAAATCCGCTAGATCTTGTTAACTTATTCCATTGCAACACCTTCATCTTGAAAAATCCGGAAGTTTGTGATGCCCAAATTATTCGAGGTCATCATAGATGACATATATTGCACTGCGTTTTCACCAAACTGCAAAGCAAAAATTTACAAGTTTTACCCTCAAGGTGTTTAAATACATAATTAATAATAAGTAATCAAAATCCAATATCATATTTACGTCAAGATCTGAGACGACGACTTTCTCCATTCCCTTCATCTCTCTAAACAGGTCCTCAAACAAAATCTTCTCCTGAGGGGACAGGGCTTGCGTGTGCAAGTTTCCTGCATATGTTGAAAGCTCGAAGGTTTTCAAATCTGAAATTAGAATATAATTTAGACAATCTCGTTTAATTATCAAGAAAGCTTGAATTCCTTTCAAATAAATATTACTTTTCCACATGCTTCTGCAATCCAGCAAATCTTGCAGAAATTTTGCAAATGTTAAAGGATATTTAGGTAACGTTACGACCAAATCTTTCAAACCTTCCAGTCTAGAACAAACTTAGCACTGGGCTCAACCCAAATTTGCTCCTTGCACCATAACAGTCATCATCATGAAAAGAGTCCACATTAAGCCATTCCAACTTTGGAAACGGTGTCTTCAATCCCTTCAGGAGGTCAGGATCATGCACCTCAAAGAGCCCAAGACTTGTTACGTTTGGAAAAAGATTCTTTTTACTCCCAATGTTATGTAATGATTTATATAAGCATTCCGACTGCTTGAACATGGTGCCAATAATTAATTAATGAAGGCATCCGCTCGGAAATATCTTGCAATGAGTCTCCACATTGAAAAATGTCGATCATCTCGTTCCTAAAATGTTTCAATTTGGGCATAATTTGCGGCAAGTGGAATCCCAATTTTGACATCCTCTCGGCATCGTAGCCTTGCTCGATAGTTTTCTTCTCGTGCCTATCAACATCTCCGAAGCTCAGATTCACCAGTTGTTCGCCAACTTGTCGCAGCATTTTGGTAAGTTCGCGCAAATTCATTTCCGCGTTATTTAGAACGTTCGATGTAACTCCTTCTAGCCCTATCGTGATGTCGGTGAGATTTTGCAAATTTACCAAATTAGGATATATGCCGAACGGAATTACGATCTCCTTCAGGTACGGCGATGCATCAAAGACAAGTTGTGTGAAAATTGGCAAATATGGCGTCACCCTATTGGAACTTAGAGTGTAATGTGTCAACTTGTTTTGAATTTTAAGCGCCTTTCGAAGTTTAGAATTCTCCAATGAACAAATATTACTCTGATCATTAAGAACTTTGAAATAGCCAGTAATTCCCAAATTTTTCAAGTTCGGGCAGGAATTCTTCAAAACTTGGTAGACTGGTTTCATACAATTTTCGTCATCTATATCTATCTCCAAAATTTTCACATTGTCACTAAACTTGTCACAGAGATGCATTAATTTTGAGGTGAAGGAATCCCGAGATGATTTGGCATGTGCGCGTGGCCCAAATCCAGGCATCGGGGGTGAAATTTTGTGTTCTAAGTTAGTGGCGCTAACACGTTTCGCAAGTCGGGGTTCCATGTCGTAGCAAAAAGTTAAAAATTCGTATGGATCGTTCAAATCAACCGCAGTTTAATTCGGGGATTGGGCATGGATAAAATTACGTCATTCCATAGTTGGGAGACTAGCCGTAGTTCATTCAAAGGGAACGTTGCCTCGTTAAATATTCCCTTCAAAACCTATCGAAGTTAAAAAAATAAGAATTAGGAAAGTATTAGAAGAATAAAGAAATGATATTGTACCTTACGATCGGGTTTCGTAATGCGATTTCCATCGATGAGATATGTTTATCCATTTCTTTTGAATTGATTTCAAATTTCCTAGATAATTATTTGACGCCAGATTATTATATGACACGATTACGACATGATTTATATTTATTTATCGCATAAATTAAAGAACGAAAGCTTGTTAGGAATTTTCACCATATTTATAACGTCACGCCTACCTTTTTTAGAACGTACCTAATACGTTGAAAATTTGAAATCACTTATATGAGTGTTTTATGTGTTTGACTGACTTCTTGACAGCGTGGAATTCCGGTGGTTACTGCGTCATTATCTATCAGGACTTTGACCTTCGCCCAAAAATGTGAAAGCTCAATGTATTTAGTAAATAGGCCTCACCAAGGGGAGGCAGACCCGTGGCGTGAGTACCCTTTTCTTCGTTTGGTTCTTTGTATTTATATTCAAAATAAAACGCATATGCATATTTTACAAAATGAGGGTTTAAAAGTTATTTATGCCTACATACGCCAACCAACATACAACATGTGCTAAATGTAACAAAAATATAACCGTCATTTAATCCAGTATACGGTTCTTAGAACATGATTTATTAATAACACAATGTTGACCTGAATTATAGCAGGGTAACATTTCTACCGCATTCAGAGGAATTGGATGATGACTATTACCAGCTTTTGATGTATTTGACTCCACCGACTTATATATATAGTTGAAAATATAGTTGTCGTAAACGAGGCGTTCAGTACCGTTGCGACGTTCCGCGTCGATGTAGGTGATTCCCCAGAGGGCGTGGCGGAGGGGTTCTGGAAATAATGGGGAAAATTTTTTTAGTTAGAAAGATTTTGAGGGGAAAGTTTGTGAATTTTTTAAGATAAAATTTGGGGGAAAATGGAAAATTATTCGTAAAAAATTCGCGACATGTTTTCTATAAAAAATTATAATGACGCCACATCAAGCTTTAGAATTAGTCGATTTTGGGAGAAGATTTTAGCAGAAATTTGCAAACATTTGATTAAATCATGACATAAGAGTAGAAAAAAGTTAAAGAAATTAGCCACGTTTTGTCCTAAAATTTAAAATCGGGTCTAACTTATCGATGATAAGTTATCATCCGGGAAACATTTCATTTAGTAAATTTCGAAAGACAATTTAAGCGAAGTTGGACCTCATTTTTTTGCAAAGTTGCAAAAAGTTCCAAAAAATTATTTTAACTATTTTATCCCCAAATTAAAAACCGACTCCATAATAATTATTTACCTTTCGAATCCGTACTTTCAGTCGACCCAATGAGGGAATTCCCCACCCCGAGATCCTCCACTTTGACCGCGGGCTTCTTGAAATTCCTCCCCATCCCCTTGACCTTCCTCCTCTTGCCAAATTTCGTCAACTTGGGAGGCCTCGAGTTCAGATAAGCCCCATCCCTCTTCGGAACCCTTTTTCTCTTCAAGGGTGTGATATGTGTGGTCAATCGGTTAGGAAAACTCTTCCTCAGGTCAAAGTCCGATTTGTTGTAGAAAACTATTCCGTTTTCGCCACTATTGTCGCCATAATTTTCGCCACCTCCACCACCACCGTCGCCATCTTCTAGTGTGTCGTCGTCGCCATTCATGTCGCCACCGTTGAGTTGATATCTGCCATTGTAGCCTTGTTGATAGTAAGAGACGTCATTTTTCTCCTCGTCGCTATTTTCGTCACCATTTAAAATTTGAATTTCCTGCTGGCCGTTTTCGTCATCTTGGTCGTCGTCATCTTCGACATCCCAGGCGGGCACGTTGACATCTTCCGGCTCCATGGCGTAAACACTGGCGACGTTTTTCCCCCAGGCGACGGCGACACCTTCGTCGCCAATTTCGACTTCGTCGTCGTCTTGGTCAGGGTGACGAAATTGGGATTCGTCTATGGCAGATATGTCGACCTTTTGGAGAGAGGAGGACGATGAGGAGCCATCGTTGGGGACGACGATCATCCCCACGTGGGGACGGGACTCTTTGAAGGAGAGGAATTCTTTGAAGTCGGAACCTGGGGAGAAAAATTATTGGGAACAATTAAGGGGAAGGTTAACATGGTTATTAATTTGGATATGTTATTCAAGCTGGGAAGTTAGAAATAATAATTAGTTAATGTGTAGTTAGGTAATTTGTGAGATAATTAATTGTTTGAGAAGTTAAAACCTGTGGAGAAAAAAATATTAAGAAAAACATCCTGCAAAAAGTTAATTGTTTTTAACCATGTGACATTATTTAAGCTGGGTCGTTGTAAATATTGCGGTAATAATTGATAATTAGTTAATTTGTGGGATAATTAACTTAGAAATTGTTTTGTAAGAAAAGTAAGTTAAAAATAGTTACCAAACTTGAGCTCGATATATTCATTTATGAAGAGGACTTGTTGCCTTAATTTGTTAAAGTTGTGGATAAATAGGGGATCCATGGTTATATCGGTAATTAATTTCAATCTGTAGTTAACTTTTATTTAAAGAAACATTTATTATTTTAACGAATTTCTTAAAATCGAGTCGTGTTGTTGTTTACTACAAGAAGAGAAATGCCAGGTGATAAAGATGAAATGTGCGGTGGTTGGAGGAAAAAAAATGCGGCTAAAGACTGAGACTGGAAAAAGTTTCTCTTTGTTTGATCTTTGTTCATGAATTTTGTGATGGGTGCATTTCTTGGAAAGTTTGCATGAAAATAGAAAATGTGGTATTAATTTAATGATGAATTTATTTAATTAAATTAATCTTAATTAAGATGGGAACATACTTTATGCATATAATATATTTATTACATTACAACTACATTTATTATTATTATTGGTAGATATTTAATAAATCTGTAAATACAAACATAAGTAAATGCATAATTTTCAATTTTTTTTATTTCTGCCGTTTGAATTAAGATGCATAAAAGTCATCCTATTTGTATCTTTATTAATTGGCACTGACGCATTACCAAAGTTTACCTTAACTTAAAATTGATAAGTAATTATATTTTATAATTTATTTGTCCTTGAATGATAATAATTTAAATTATGTAGTAAGGTAGTTTCGCTAAAAATTTGTCATGATTAGTAGTAAAATTATTATCAGTCTGGTAATATTTGTTTCTGCTCGGTTGCAGGTACATATGTTTCACCAGGATGGTGATAAATTTACTAGTCCGTACGTTCCTAATTTATCGCCATGGTGATATGTATTTAGAGAAATTTAACCATTGTAACCGGATTATTTTCAGGGTACCCAACTCTGGAATCCAGAGTCTGGATTGTTACAAATTCTTTGGAAAATAGGATTACAAACTCCGCCTAAATAGTGAAAAGATTCCAAGAAACGCGTCCCGGTGGTGGTGGCTTCAAGTTTGTGGAAAATTTACTTTCTAAACGCGTCCCTCTATTTTCTTAGGCACATCATTTTTTTAACTCGTGTAGTCAAGACGTATTTTTTTATCTCCTTACATCAAATATTTTTGCACTTGCAAAACACAATAATTGATTCGTTAAAGATGAACATGGAAACTGTATAAATGCCGGCAGTAAGCGTTGCATCGGGGGTAAGTAGTTTTTTTAGTAATTTGTTGAAATTTTCCTACAAATTGTTTGGGACTGCTGAATTTTATGAATTTTTCCTCGTTTTTTGAGACATGACGCATATTTAATTGTAGTAGGATTGTAATTAAAATTTATTTATTATTATTTCCAGGTTGCCAAGGAGATCCACACTTTTAACTGGAGAGTGTACGATTTTAGCTTCCTCGTCGAGGGACGCGGCGACCTTTCCGGCGTCAAATATGAATTCCACGCCGGCGACGACATATCCATGCCGTCAGATTGGAAACTTGCCTTCAATTTGGATAAGGACGGACTGATATCGATATCCCTCCAGATGATGCGATGGAATGGATCGGCAGACCAGGTTTTTGCCGGGTTGGAAGTCAAGACACACCCGGACAGAATTATAACACTGGAGGGAGAGTTTAAATTGGAGTGTAGTAAGTTTGAAAAAATCAAATTTGAAATTCCCCGCCGTCCTAGATAAAATATTTAATGGCGGGTATTTAATTTTTTTAAATAGATGATCCATTCCGAAACTACTACCCGTCAGGGATGCCGCCTGAAAAGATCAAATTCAATCGGTGGGAACCCGAATGGCGGGTATGGCGAAATTGTGGCGTCATGCCGGTAGATCTTGACACCATGAGACAACTCCTGCTCGATGATGTGTTCTCGTTGGACATAAAATTTACCTTGTTTGGTGCAAAGTTGGAGACGACATCGGTGGGGGGAAGGAAATCGGTTGATAATTTGACACCGGCACTGCTCGACCTCATGACGAGAGGTGGCAGTATCCGGCATTAAAGTTGTATGGGAAATTTTAATGGGTCAGGAAATGAGGTAAAAATGGGTTACTGGATTTCATTTGTAATTAAATATGTCAACTTCAAGTTTAATACTATGCTTGATACATACATATTTCTGTACTTGTTGAATCTTTATGAATTTAAAAAATTTTAAAAGTGGATTGTTTACAATTTACTGAAATAATTAACATAATTTATTGTTAATTAAATTTACGACAAATTTGTAACTTATTATTTAAAAGTTGGAAACTTTGATACATTCTGTAAGAAGTATGTGACTACTAAAATTACTAGCGAATAAAATCAATCCTTAGCAGATTATTACTAAACCTTTGGTATTTTTGACTTGTCAACAGCAGTACATGAAAAGCAGAAATTCATTTGTTATTTAGTACGCAGAGTAATTTTTCTGTACCACACATACATTACTATACCGCAAAATTTTAATTAGTTCCAATATTTAAATCTTTGTCAACTTTCCCATAACATACTTTAATGCTTTCGATTCGATAACAACAATAAATTAACAGTTGATGAAAAGCAGAAATTCATTGTCATAAAAGTTGTCCCAATTTCCATAAAATTCGACCCAAATCGAATCTTTAGAGGGGAAGCGGCCCTCACAATTCTCCACTTTAGGCTTGCGAACCTTCCACAATTAATTTTCCTCAGACAGTTTTTCGTCACCTTTTTCGACACGAGGTTCGCCTTGCCGGACGCGTAGCAGATGAAAAGCGTCATCCCCAATGCGTCCAGAGCTATGAGAGGGTAAACGAGGAGGGCGATTTGATCTAAAGAAATTTCATGGGCGAACGAAATTGTTAAAAATGCTCCAAAAATGACCGCAAGACATCCCGCGGAGTAGAAAAAGGTCAAGTGGAAAGATTGGAACCGCGAATTATAGATGGATTCAATCACCTTGATTCGCTTGTATAAGCTAAGGGTGGGTGAAGTGGTTTTAGAATTAAGGTGATAGACAGAGTAGAAATTTTTCGAGTAGATAGGCCTGAAAAAAAATAATTATTTTTTTAAACGCTATAAAACTAATTTTAAATTAAAAGTCTGAAACTTAATGAAGCTCATTTTTCCTTTAAAAAAATCAATCTGTACCACAGATTCTCTATACCTTCGTGTAATATTTCATAAGGAAAAGTCGGCATAAATTTTGCGAGAACACAAAATTCGCAAATAATTATTTACAATTTATATTTATACCTCGTTTTATTACTATTCTTCTTTGAACATGCCCCTTGCTTATCCAGAGCTTCTACATAAGCCAAAATACTCGTCAAAACTGTTCCATAACTCGTCCCAACCAGAAACGCTGCATGGGAGGCGAACCAATACCAAACCAAAAATTCGAACGAGTCAATAACCCCCAGAGTTAGGCCCATAGGTGGCAGGTTATTGCACTGTATCACTTCACCCCTTGATAAGTAAATCGATCTCAACATGGGAGCCATACAAGGATCCAGGAGTTTTAGAACGGTCACACAAATTGGAATCCCCACGGACGTGAGGCACATTTGTATGAGCCAGAATTGTGAAAGTTTTAAAAGTCCGGAGGATTTTTTTGAATTTTCGCGGTCTTCACTTCTGTTCAATTGGAAGGTTTCAAAATGCAGGAGAACATTTAGCATTTGTGTGCAGGCTTGGGGATTCATGAGATAAATTGGTGAGAATCCGAGATATGTCAAAACCCAGTAGGAACTTCGCAAAAATTTGGGTGTGTCTAAATACCGAGATAATCTGAAGTTGTTTAAAACTAGGAAAATTCCATAGAAAATAAATAATAATTTTCTTGGCAGGTACATTATCAAACGTTCAAGTTTGGTGGTTCTAATTGGTTTCCAAGTTGAGGTGGTGGGGTTCCAAGCAATCTTGGAAATCCCTAAAAAATTGGACAATTTTATTTGAACGTTGATTAAGGAAACTAGGCGAGACAGAAACATTGTGAAATTATTCGGAATTGCTAGAACTAGGAGATATTTTGCCAAGTTTTTTCTAGGGATGTAAAAAAATTGTGAAATTTATGTTATTCACGAAATACTGCGTTCAATTTGCAAAATGGCAAATAAAGGGTGGCGCACTTACAACTGGTACACCTTCTTGTATTTGCTGAAATATGAATATTTATTTTCCCACCCAACCGATTTGATTAATTGTTTTTTTCGTATATTTTAAAAGTATTTCTGAAATTAGAAAAGACTATGGGGTTGTTAAAAAGAACTTAATAAATGAAGGACGGCTAATAAAAAATTTCGCGTCGAAAATAAAAGTTTCTGGAACTCCGGTTAAGAAGTGGCTCAAATCTTCCGCCACTAAGACCAAAACGACAGAAAATGCTCTCACCTATATCAGAATCACAGATTACATGAAATTTGAAAGAGAAGAGTAGTGATTCCGTGCGAAGTGATAAGAAAGCCAATCAAGTGAAAACGGTATCGAGATAGAGGTAAAACTATTAGTCGTATATATTTGCAACAGTATATAAAAATCCAGTCATGGGGAAAAACAACTTGCGAACATTCCCACGAACAGTTACGAAGACAAAACAACCTCCCACACAGCTTGCTATTTGGAGAAATCTCCGAAAACGAGGATTTTTGCGCGCTGAGAGTAGGGGTCAACAAAAGCGGTCCCACGACCTGTTACGGATGAGTCATTGGTTTAGCTCTACCCCAAAGACAACACACATAATAATAAATAAGATACAGTGAAGAAAGGAAATTTGGCGGACGTAGGAACTCTAAAACATTGCATTAAAACAATGGTAGCTGCACGATTTGTGTTCACTGGGTCACACCACCTTACGTCGTGGAAACCAAGCCGTTAAAAAAAGGATATTCAAATGACAAAATTTTACATATATGCATCGTATACCTGCATGACAAGGCTTTATTCCCATCACAAAGAAAAATCACTATTCAACAAGACGGAGCCACGCCCCAACCTTTATGAGTAGTTACCGAGTTTATGAAGGTGCAAGGTGTCGTCATGTCATGGACTGGGGTGTAGCTTGAAAACATCCGGGACTTCAACTGAATCGAAAATTTGTATTCTATTCTCAAGGATGCGACATACAAATCACTTGAAATAACCACCAAACACCAATTAATCGTAAGGTTTCAAAAAAAGTGGAAATCGATACTGGTCGGTGTGTTACAAAACCTCATGAGGTCAGTCCCTAATCGAACTAATTTGATTTTAGATAATATCGGCGGGTTCACAACATATTAGAGAAGGTGTGCTAACAAATTTGGGACGATCGGTCCAGTAATTTTTGAGATATTACACTTTTTATTTTTTCTACCTAGGTGTACCAGGTGTAAGTGCGCCACTGTTTATATATTTCGCAAATTGAGAAACCGCGTATGTAGTTCCAGGTTTTGTTTGTTTATCTTATTTTTTATTTAAATTTTTACCTAGCATTTACCTCAGTTTATATAAGGAAGTGTTTTCAAATAATTGTAGTTAATAGGTATCCAATCATGAAATACAGATAAACGACAGGATCGATTACACAGTGCTTTTTGCATTTGTCCAAATTGGATAGTTACCTGTCAATCCATACGTATCAATCATCCCCACATGTGTCATTGGCAATAACTCATTGCAAATTGGAAAGACTACGGAATAATCAAATCAGTAGGCTGGCTAAGTAATTGTAGCTGAGTAATCTGGAGGATGTTTCACAGACGTAAAGTTTACTTGTCACAGCTGGAGGCAACGACTCCGTTGTCTAAGAAATTAGGATGATAGCATGTTACATACAATGCTGATGCCAGAAGTTAGTAATTTTCAGAATTGCTTATTTTCGCTCTTTGAATTTGTTGTATAAACTATGCTTCATTTAATCATAAGTGTATGTATTAGCAGTGTAGGAAAAGAAGATTAATAAATGCTATTGATGTCAGGTGATACCTTTGCAAAACGACTCCACGAATTTATATCCAATCTAAATAGTTACTAAAATTATTTACAATTTAAGATGTTAGTTATCAGTGGCGGCGGAAGCGTGGGGACATGGGGACAATGTCCCCACGGAAATTTGGGCGTGGGGACACTCAATGCAATTGTCCCCACGGTTTTCTTGCATTGAATTACAAAGAAACGTCGAGTATAAAATAACATATGGCAATAAAGTTTTACGATTTCTAAAAATAATTTTGTCAAAGCAATGATAGACATGCATATTTATTTTCATATAAACATAATCTGGTTACTAATGCAGTGGTTGAAGTACTCGCTTCATTGGCCCAAAATGAGATTCTCATCCCCGGGCATCCCTGACTCAAATTAATTACATGTGCAGTTTTATTTTGCTTTCCGTTTTGGATTAGAAAAATTAATTCTCTTCACTGTAGATATAGTGGAAAATTTCCACTGGAAATTAAATAATATACTGCTAGATTGAATTGCGGCCTTGTTGTCATGGCGTCGAAGCGGTTAGGTAAAAAAATCGACGAATTCTTCATTAAAAAACCAAAACAACTGCCTACATTAGTTGACAAAACTTTTGTCAACTAATGTAGGCAGTTGTTTTGGTTTTTGTGTGCATTAAAGCTTTGGATATGAAGATAATTTCTCTACCATCTGGAAACAATTCATTTCTACTGTACGGCTTTTGGAATTGGAAAAAAGGAAAAGAAAGGTTGGGTGTTCATGAAAAGAGTGAAACACATCGGACTGCAATGTTAAAATTGACAAATATTCAAAGGAAACCAAACCAAATATCTTCACTACTGAATTCCCAGATTAAATCTGATCAAGACGCCGCCCGTAAGTGTTTTCGAACGATGTTCACGACAATCTCATTTCTTGGGAAGCAAGGAATTGCACTTCAAGGACACGAGGCCGACAGAGGAAATTATTTGGAGTTACTCAAACTTCGGATGGAAGAAATTACAGAGCTTCAGACATGGTTGAGGAGGAGTAAACCTTTGACGTCACACGACATACAGAATGAAATGGTGGACATTATTTCGAAAAACATTTCGCGGGTAATAATCAAGAAAACTCAAAATGCCAGAGAATTCAGCCTTATTGTGGATGAGACGACAGATGTGTCAACTAATGAGCAAGTCAGTATTTGCATAAGAATCGTTAACGATAATCTGGCTCCCGAGGAGTATTTCTTGGGATTATATAAAACTAATTCCACGACCGGTGAGAGCATTTTTGAAGTAATACAGGATGTCATAACAAGATTTGGACTGGATTTCTCAAACCTGCCAGGACAATGTTATGATGGAGCAAGTAATATGTCGGGGAAATGTATTGGTGTTCAAAGTCGAATTCAAAATATTGAGCCTCGTGCGCTGTATGTTCACTGCATGAACCACAGTCTGAATCTTGCCCTTCAGGATACAGTGAAATCCATCCCATTCCTGCGCGAGACTTTGCAGTACCTAAACGATGTTGGTGTCGTGCGTAACCTGTCGCCAAAACGGTAATTAGCATTACTTGATAGTTATTAATTATCCTGACCTGTTTAACTTTTAGATTGGGGTTTCCTCTGCTCCGCTTGTCTAATAATAATTTTGTTTATTTGCATAAATAGATATACTAATTTTTATATATTTTCTAGAATGGAGTTATTTGCTGACATTGCCCGCGACCACGACTCCGATGTTCTCTCTATCCGCCCTCTATGCCCCACGAGGTGGACCGTCAGGATTCGCAGCATTAACTCCGTGTTGAAGAGCTACCCAGTTTTGCTGGATTTTTTGGAAGAGCTTGGGCGGAATAATGACCCCGCATCCGCAACTGCAAACGGACTCCACTCTCAATTTGAAAAAGGGGCGACGCTTTTCGGAGTCATGCTGTGTCAAGCCTTATTTGAACCTACCGAGAGATTAGCTCATGCTCTGCAAGGCCCATCATATAGCGTCGCCGGATCAATTGAAGCTGCATCTAAAGTTGTATTATTCCTTAGCGGCTTATTATTTTTCGAAGAAGTATGTCCCCACGCTCAAAAACATCTTCCGCGGCCACTGGTTTGTTTAGACCGGTTTTTCAAATTTCGCCGATTCAAAATATGTATTTTTAAGTCGTAGGTGCCTCCTTGTAGGTATTACTCACTTAGGCTTTTAATAGGATAGTTAGGATAGGATAGTTATAAATTATAAAAATGCTATAATATATGGTTCAAAAATATTCTCATTCTGCCTACTTTACGAAAAGTTAAAGGTTTTGCTATTTCTTATATTTTGATCGAAGGTACGAAATGTGTTACAAATTGTTACCTTAACAGAATTGTTGTTTTCAAATAAATTCTAACACTGCTTTCATTATATTCTAATAACTATGTATCTTCTCACCAAGTGAGCATAATTATACCGCAATATTTTGTAAGTTTAGTGTGTAATAATTTCTGACCCCTACGGATCGAAATCCTTTACGGCTAAATCCATCTTGGACTTTAGCCTAGGATTTTACAATTTCTAAATGCGCACCAAATTTCAAATCGCCTGGATTACTAAGTAGAGCGAATTAGTAGTACCGCGTAAAAAAACATTGAGACGGACGGACAAAGTGATTCCACCTGGCTAAAAAAGGTTACAGCTGCACATTTTTAACGAAGTTTATTTTTTTCCAGAAGATGACATGTATTGCCGTTCCGAGCATCACATCAAAATTGTTTTCGTGCTTGACGGAAAATATCCGTTCTATTTAACGGACGAGGAGATTCCTGGTATGCACTACAAAATCTTGAGTCCATGGTTAATAAATAAATAGATCATCCGTGCCTTAGTGCGGGTATCCCGCAATTTTGCCGGAGCCAGAAATGGTCAGTCTCATTATGAGACTCTCATATATTTAAATTAGTGTTGAAATTAAAGGATTATTCCCAAAGATGTTTTAATTAATACTGCAAAATTTAGAACTCCAAAAGCAAAACTTTACCAAAGCTACAAAAATTCCTGCGACAAAAAAATTGGACGGATTTTAAAAGCGTTTTTGAAGCATGCGAACTCATGCTGGTGAATTTCTGCATTTCTGGTGAATTGCAATATTCATTCTGACCATTAAGACAAATGTGTCATACTCATGTCGTATCAGATTACTAGCAATAACTGGAGCAACAAACTTATGCGAAATTTGTTCTCTATTCCCTCCCATGCTAAAATCTCGTTGGCTTTCCAGTAGTTTACCCACTAGATAAATAACTCAACGCAATACAACGACTTCTCTTTTTTCATCATCATCATCAACTTCATATTTCAATGAAGCGATTTTCTCGACTCCTTCTTGAAAAAAATTCTCATCCTCGTTCATTTTAACTACGTTTTCAAAATTACTTGAGGCCTCTTGAAATTCATTTTTCTTTATTCCAATGCTAGAATTTCTAACGATATTGACCAGCGAAGTCCATCCATTAGAAACCAAAACTATTGCTACTAACGAGAGCAATAAAACAATAAAATTCCAGAAAAGGTTTCGCCTTTCTGGACTCAGAAACAAACGTGAGACAGCTCTTAGCTGCTCTCCCATTAAAGTTTGAGTTAGGGAACAGTCTGGGCATCCTAGTGAGCGAGTTGACTTTTTCTCCTCGCCACTTACCAGTAATGTAAATGATTTTTGTCACTAAGACTTCTAATTTGCAGCTAATACAAAATGGATTGATTTCGTTTTGGTGGCAATAAATTCCCAAGTTTGTGCTTTACAATTGCCATGTTGCATAAATTCCATAATAAATCTCGGTGAAAAGTATTGGACTGAAACATGATATGAGTCCATGTTTCAGTTCAATACTTTTCTCTGAGATTTATTATGGAATTTATGCAACATGGCAACTGTAAAGCACAAACTTGGGAATTTATTGCCACCAAAACGAAATCAATCCATTTTGTATTAGCTGCAAATTAGAAGTTTTAGTCGAATTTTTTCTCCTTTTCTGGTTCGCGATGCCCCGTTTGGAGAGTGGGAACGGTGACTCTCAAAACCCAAAGCAACTTTTTACATGCAACTGCCTGCATTGTTTACATGAAAATCAGCTGCTCTCTTCGCCCCGCCCCCCTCCATAGAAAATAAAGTCTCCCGGCACACAAGGAGACGCAACCGTCGTCTCTGTCTTTTAGTTATGAGATTTTTTCAACGTATATGCATTCTTAACGTGGATTCGGCCATCCCTATGCATTTCACCTCTGGTGATGATAAAATAATACGTGGTTCTTCATTCGTTGCATTTTCTGCAATTTTTCTAGCAATTTCAGTCGCTCGGTGAGCAGTTACATCACTCACTGGATTCATAAACAAAAGTGAGGCAGCTTTTCGCTTCTCTCCTTTTGTCGTACCAACCATCCTCTTACATTTCATCTCTAATGATGAAAATGAAATACATGACTCTTCCTTCGTTGCATTTTCTGCAATTTCGCATGCAATTTCAGTCACTCGATAAGGATTCAATTTGCTCAATTTCTCATGCAAAACGGCTTGTTTTTCACATACCATGCCAGTATTTACTACAGGCCTAAACTGCAAAATTTGCAGCCCATCTCTTCTTACAGCTTCAATGTCACGCTTACCATTTCGGTAATAAATAATTTGATCTCTGCCAGTCTTTCTCACTTCCAGTCCCTTGTCCAGCAAGACATTTTCGGAAAGTAAATTGGCTCCTCCTGGCACGTACTCAACATTATTAATCACTATTTCTTTCCAATGCTTATTAATCAAAGCATGAACTTTAACTTGACCAACTCCCTCGGCATACATACGGGAATTGTTAGCAAGTTTAACTGGTTTCGGCACACTGTACTTTTCGTACTGGTGAAACCACTGTAATACTCCACAATAATGCCTACTTGATCCAGAATCAGCTATCCAAAGATTTGAGAGAGATCCAGCAGCATAAGCTCCTCCGCTCTCCTCATCTTGACACTTTTTCCCTGGACAATTAGGATAATTTCTCCAATGACCTTTCAATTTACATACGTGACAATGGCTCTTATTTTTCATAATTGCAATTTCTTCTTTAGTGAACTTTTTGGCTCTGAATGCTTTACCATATTCAGCATCCACATCTTGGCTGGACTCTTCGTCCTCCAACTCAAAAGTTTTGAGTCGGGAAAGCAGAAGGGCAGAGGTTTGTTTTCCAAGGTCGACCGACCTCCAGGCCTCCCTAAATTGACGATATTTGACGCCCATTAAACTGGAGACAACTCTGGCTACTTCAGCCTCGTCGTCTATAACAAGTTTCACATTTCTTAGCTGCGCTGCAATGTTCTGGATTTCAATCATAGTCTTGACTGGCGATTTTTCATCTGCTATCACACTATAATACTTTTGCCAAAGAGCTTGCTTTGACTCACCGCTAGTACTTTCATAGATGGAACTTAGCTTTTTAAAAATTTCTGCGGCCGTTTTACAAGATGACACAGCTTCCACTTGGTCATCTCCCATGCTTAACAACATGCACGTCTCGGCTTCATTATTAGCTTGATCCCACAATGCAGGGTCACTTCCTGTAGCACTTGGACGCGTTGTACTTCCGTCCACAACTTCCAGGATTTTATGCGATTTAAACAAACACACCATTCGCAGCTTCCACACTCTATAATTATCACCATTCAATCTGGTAATAGCAGAAGTGTCGAATCTCCTCGTGGAAATAACTGTCGTGGTTGACACTGGATCAGGCATTTTCTACCTTTGTGTTCTTGGTTGAAAACTGAACAGTTACTGTTATAACTCAACTAAATAAACTCTTTTTCAGAGTCTCGTCTCAAGTTTCTCACGTCTCACTCAGATTTGGCAGAGCCGTGCTGATAACGTGTTCAACGAAATGAGTTTTAGATCATTTCAACTCTGAGTACAATTAAGGACTGATTTATTCTTCGTCCATTAATAATAAAGCAGTACATATTATGGTAACTACAATTAAATAACGCCCTAAGCTATTTAGCTGGGCATGACATTTTTAAAGGTTCAGATCTTCTCTAATTTGCTAATGCATGCATACATACATAATTACTCATACACTGATTACGTACATGCATCATCATCGTCATTTCATATCATAAATACTAAGGCATAACAAAACTAATCATGGTTATTTTCAACAAAAACACTTTCCTCTTGCAGCCAAGGTGCCTAGGGGTGTAGTACAAAAGGCCTTAAAAATATTAAAGAAGAGGATCAGGAGAAAGACCCGACTTCATCAGTCGACCGAGAGGCGTAAAAATATCGTCGACGAATTTGCAAAAAACCTTTACCAACAATTTTTGACAAAAGATAAAAGTGAATTTGGGGTGTCGTTGGATGAACAACTATTTTGTTTACAAGATACAAATGGCCAACGACGAATATATTACAATTTAGTAACAATAAAAATCTTCCAAAGTGCGTGATGCAACGCAAGGAAAACTTTTCTAACAAGTGCATGGTCGTCGGTGCTTTCTGTGGTCGTGGCGTCTTACCACTTATCAAAGTTCCTGCAAAACTTAAAGTTAATGGACGATATTATATTGACGATTTACTAAAGCCACTTTTGGAAATCCAGATTCCAAAACTTTATGGTAGCGAGACCTCAAAAGTTGTAGTTCATCATGACGCAGCGTCATCTCATACTGAAAAGTTAACGCAAGAATACGCCAAGGACTAAAACGAGAGACTTGAAATAAAAGTTATTTTCAATAGTGAAATATATGTGAAGTCACCGGATGCTAGTCATATGGACCATTTCGGCTTTGGAAATTAAAAAAAAACATCGTTTGTGCGACGTTCCACCACCATGCGCGGACTTTGGAAAGTGTTTCAGGATGAGTGGTTTAAAATCCATCGTCCTACTGTGGTCAAAGTGTGTACAACTTGGAGTGACAGGTATCAATTTGTTGTCTAGGATATGTGCTTTCATAATATGAATGTCCGAAATTTCCATCACAAACCGATTTCGAGAAATTAAGGTTTGAAATCGTCACCACTATCTAAATCATCCCTCTGTAAGTGACACCGATTTCTTTGAAAGAACTGTTCCAACTCTGAATGAAACCCTGTTGCGTTCCAATATTCCGGGTTGTGACACTTTACGAGATCTCGAGATACCACTCCCACTCAGGAGTAAATTTCGGTTGTATCCAACAAGTCGAAATATTAGTGACCCCCATGAGAATAATATATTCGAGTGGAAAGATAGCGAGGAGTATTTCAACAGGTTGGAGGAAACTTTCCCTCGAGTCGATTACCAATTCTTGGATCCACTTTGGAGACTCGATAGGCTCCAGAAAGTTAAGAAACTTGTAAAAATGGCGATTAGTTTGGGGTTTTCTGAAAAGGAGTTGGAAAAGGGGATGCAGAATGGGTGTGTAATGGATTTCAATATGGAAAATCGGATAATAGATTTGTAGTAGTTGGAGGGCCTTGCAAAGATTTTCAGGTTATCTATGCATGAAATTTGTAATAAATTTGGAGTTTGTTTACAATAGTCAGACATTATTAAACCTAATCTGAGTAGTCTTCCTAAGGACATGAATTAAATAGCTAAATAGAAAAAAATTGTAATAAACCTGCATGTAAATATATATGCGCTTGTTGCATTCATGAAACAAATAGCGCATAATTTCACGGAAACAAATATTCAATTTTTTTGTGGATACGTATGCAAAAAAATGAACTTTACAATGAAGGATCCCAAATATCAAATCTAATAATCATCAGATTTACATATTATCATTTCTGTAAAAACATAGACTTCATGAATCAAAAAAATAAATATTCATGTATCAACATATGTGTATAAATGTAATGCATAATCGCCCATGCTTTATTTGACAAACGCACCCTTTATTTATTTTAATATAAGAAAACCTTCACTTTGCATGAATAAACACCAAATTCATACAAGCGCAGTAAAACTGTGACAAATTCTACATCACACAGTACGGAAAGGTTTCACTATACCCAGGGAATGAACCACCACCACCATCCTCAGCTGCTGTTCCATACAAGTTTTTTTTAACTCTCCATAAACATACCCGTAAATTGTAAACATTTTCTCTCTCAGGAAAATTATACTGTCAACAGCACAATTTATTTTGTATTTAATCTAGAAGCCACTTAGAAAGTTAATTCAAATACAAACCAACCATCCAACAATTAGATCTTAACATATTTTCAAAGGGACACATTTCTTCGCGTATTTTCTTCAAAAGTTTACAATTAAATTTAGTAATGTCACACCGTTGTTCATGTCAGTGTAAAATTTGCGATTCACAACTTCCTCACGAACCTGGAATTGCGTTACATATTTTAGAACAACACGATATCAACATTCTTCTCAATGAGGGGGTGGAATTGGAGACATTGTAAGTCGCAGAATAATTAAAAAATAAATAAAAAAGTTTTTATGCATGTTTATAACAGACGTTTCAAAAAATACATTTTTTTCCTTTAACAGACGAATTATTTTACCCGAAAAGTCCAAACTTTGGGCCAGACTGGATTCCTTGGATCATGTAGATCCAATAAAAATCGAGGAGGAAATTATTATAGAAGCTGAGGAGGGTGAATTGGACCACGGTGATTGTAATGAAGATGATCAAGATAGCGACACAGCAATTAACTCGGTAATTAATAATTCATTAACATTGATTTATAAATTGCTACAGATTCGTTACGCACAAAAAATATTAATATCACTTATAAGAATACGAACTTTTGTACATATTCGTATGTACATATGGACTCATGGTAAAGATTTGGTCCATATATTGACCAAATTTTTACCGACATCAAGAACATTATAATGTTCCAAGTCAGGAATCTGTAGTATAATTAAATTTATGATAATTATTACACACCATTTTATAAATCTGTAAAAATAATTTCTACGGAATGCATGGATAATTTTGTTTCGGGACAAACTTTCCATGTATTTACATAATTAATCTTGCGTGTTCCAATTTTAAGTAAAAATTTCTCTAAATAATTTCAGCCCTCCCCTAATCCAGACGACCATCTCGAATCTCGTCACCCATGTTACGTCTGCGGAGAAAAATTCCCGACAAAGCAAGATTTAGAAACCCATCGCGAAAATGACCATGGACCACGCCCCTTCGCCTGTGACACCTGTCCTGAATTACACTTCTCCTGGGTCATGTGCGAAATGCACAAATTGCGCCACACTCCGGAGTGGCCCGAACTTGAGAAGGATGCCGATAAGTTGTCCGACTTAAAACAGAAGTTCATTAAGGCGAGGAAAAGGTGGCGCTGTAGTTTGTACCAACCCCCACAAATGCATCAATGTCCACAATGCGAGAGATCTTTCAAGTGGGCGTCACATCTTCGACATCATCTCAAAAGTCATACGAAAGGTACGGTTATATTTTTGAGTCATTCTTTACAATTTTTGTAGCTTTGTTTTCAAGTTTCCAAGATTTCTAAACAAACTTTTTATTGTTTTACACGATCCATTAATCTTTACACGAACGGGATTATGCTCTATTTATTATAATTAGACCCTTTTTTGTATGCACATCGTATGGGTAAAGGTGTCTAATTTTAAGAAATAGACCATTGGGCTCTGTCCCTTTATTGCGCTGTTCGTAAATCTCGTGGAGCACTTGACATAGGCAAGATAGAGAAAAATTTATATCCTGTAATGTTACGCCGGTGTTTAGGAACACCGCCAATAAAAGGAGACATATCTAAATAATGCAAAATTCACAAGCCAGATTTTTTTACAAATTTTGCAAGGGGCAGTTTTATTTTAAAATATTATAAACAACTTACCAATACTTACATTAAAATCGTTAAAACTTTTCCACATTTTCAGAACGATCCTACATCTGTCCCACCTGCTCTTCCGCTTATCGGACCCAGACCACTTTGCGGGAACACATCGCCCGCAAGAATTGCTCCAACATAATCCTCACCTCATTCTCGCGCGCCTTCCAATGGGACCTTTGCCCCACGCGAGTCAAAAGCAAAAAGGGGCTGAGCGCACATCGCAGATTCCTGCATGGAATCAAACCCACTCCAAGGACCAAGGTGTCCTACCCGTGCCCCATTTTTTAATTTTGATATTAAAATTTATACTCAATAAATCTCCAACTCAAAAAATTGTTGGTTCGTTCCTACTGATTAATCCCAACTGACTAAATCACTCGGTCACCTTTTTGCTTTTATTTGGATGCGAAACACTTCAAACTTCAATTTGGATACAACTCTTCGATGATGAAAGTTCAATCGGTCTGCGAAATGATAAGAGTATATAAAATTATGAAATGGGGTTGACGAAACTGCAGCCATAGCCAAGCGAATGTAACACTGACATATATTTGTAGAGAGGTTACTCGTAAATTTCTGTCTGCTATCTAATCATCCAATTTTTCTTTGAAATATACCTTATCGTCCATCGTCCTTTACTGAGAAATAAATCAAATTGATTCAACAGTTTTGATTAAACTGATATCAGATTGGAAAAATATCGACGAACTTTGTGCCAGGAATGCCTAAGTGACCTTATGCAACATTAAGCGTACGTTATGTGTATCTACATATTTATAACTAGGCTATAGCCCGTATAAAACACGGGATGCATTAATTTTTTTTATAGCTAACTGATCTACGATCAGATCAGTATATTTAATATCCCCACCTTGTATAAATTTACAATTTCTACTTTCACCACCTTTGCCAAGCGTTTATTGTTGTATGATCATAGAGATTATGAGAATGTTGAGAACTATAAGAATGTTGAATGTCTTGTCTTAAAGATAAAGCGCAATTAATGTTACAAAATTGAATAGCGTTTTACCAAGTGTTTTATATGAATTTTGTATTTCATATTTAATAATACATCAACAAATGTTTTGTTGTAATTTTAACCTTGCTTTACTATGCATTGCACATGCAAATCTTACTTGTCCTAATTACTAAGTAGTGAGTAGAGGTTTAGGGGACGATATAAGCAGTCATATTTTGGTCGTATTACTTGATATATAGAATAGCTACAACTGTTGCAAGTTTTCATTACTAAGAACTTTCATTACTCAAAAATCAAATATAATTGTTCACGCATTTGCGATCGTGGGAAATCTTCCCGGTCCTGAAGTGGGATATGGGTGATAAGTCGGGACGCCCTCCTCCCAGGGTGGACAATCCACTGGCTAATGATAAGTTCATATTTAATTAATAAAGTTAATCAATATCGTGCAATTACAAAAAAGTATTTATAAAATAATGTCCTAATTGCCTGTGGGTTATCATCACAACTTTGACATTGGGCCAATGTGACGCTATACAGAATTAAAATTCCAACGTGGAACCACGAATATGTCCCATATACCATTTTTTAGTGTTTAATAATAAAATTTATAAACACAAAAAATTATTGGTTAATTCCTCCTTATTAATCCCAACTGACCAAATCACTCTGTCGTCCTTTTACTTTTATTTGGATGCGAAACACTTCAAACTTCAATTTGGATGCTACTCACCGTTCATGAAAGTTCAAACGGGCTGCAACATGTAGGATTACTATATGGAATGACGTACCTGCAGCCATGGTCAAGCGCACGTAATACAGACATACATATGCTTGTAGAGAAGTTACACGTAAATTTCTGTCTGCTATCTAATCTTCCAATTTTTCTATGAAACATGTTTATTGTCCTTTACTGAGAAATAAGTCAAATTGAAGTAAAAGTTTTAATTAAACTGATATCAGATTGGGAAATATCGACAAACTTTGAGCCAGGAATGCTTAAGTGACCTTATGCTATGTGATGCGTAAATTATGTGTATCTATGAACATATTTATGATATTATACATAAATAATATGATATAGAGATAAAGCGTCTTTTGATGATATGTATATTCCGCCTACTGAAAATATTTGCAAAAATTATTTCACTATGGCCCATAGTCTATGGGTATGGACAGAGTACACGGAAAAAAATCCCCTCGGTATTTCAGTACGGGCGTACTTAAAATGCGACCCTGAGACATCCCCACTTAAATTAAGTACATTCCCACTTGCGAGAAGCGAGAATGTACTTAATTTAAGTGGGGATGTCTCAGGGTCGCATTTTAAGTACGCCCGTACTGAAATACCGAGGGGATTTTTTACCGTGTATGGGCAGAGTACATAGATGGTGGCCAAAAATAAAATAACTTTAAATAAAGTTAAATAGCCTTCAAATGCCGTTGCACCGTTACTACAGATAAATATGCATTTAAATTATCATTTCCTTTGTATTCAAAATTTAGCAATGCATTAATAAAATTAAATGAGCTGCAGATTCTTGCAGTCAACAAGATATAGGACAACTAAGAGAGAGGAGAGCTGAATCAAATAAATTAGAATTAAAACTGTTGTTATTATGTAAACGACTAACAAGGGAGCATTCTAACGTGCCGTTCAAATCCAGGGTTCCCATTTATACTAAACTATGCACAATATACTACTTTTTCTATTTTTTCATCATCTACGTCCATGCTGCATGGAAGTATATGTGAAACATATAGTATATTGTTGGGTCGAGCAACGTTAATTTTTAGGGGGTCGTGTAGGGAACCCTTAAGAGATAGAAGGATGCGGTAAAGGGCATTAGACGCTCCTTCCAAATGTAGGGATAGGGTACGCTTACAGTTTTTCCAAATTTTCATTAGTGTTTGACCTATTGACCTTTATGTGTAATGTAGTAGTGGGAACACTAAATATGTTCTCAAATGGTCTGGGCGAATGATATTAAAAAACGGTCGCTTACGTAATCTCCACAATCAATGTAGGTACAAAAATCATAACAAGCTTTGTTTGAAGTAAGGCCTCCCTGACGCGCGAAAATTCAAATAGTTGAATTTTGGGTCACTTCATTCTCACTGGGGTAACATGTCGAAATTTCGATTTTTTGACATGATCTTAATCAAATCGTATTCTTGAGATATGTGGGGAGTGCCCACCTGAGATCATGTTTTTTGAAATAACGCTTCCTTTAGGCGCTACGTTTGAATGTTAAAAAAGTTTCGAAATTTCGGTTATTAACCTTCCATATCCTTCCATATTTTCAAAATTTGACCTGTTTGACCTTGAATCATGACTGGTTTTTTGGCGACATTGTGACCTTAATTTAAGGTCAAACAGGTCAAATTTTGAAAATTTAGGATTGTCCCTGCCAAATTTCTCCCCTGTAGCTCCAGTAGTTTGGTCACAATGATAGGAGAAAGACAACAAAGTTTTGCATGAAAAGTACGAATTTGACCCCATGGGGGAACTTGAGATTTTTAAAAACCGATTTAGTCGATTTTAAATATTTGTTATTTAGTTAGGGCAAAATTTATGTATAAGAATTGATATCAGAAGTTTTAATATACCTTCTGCCACTTCAACTTAATAAATCATTTAGAAAAGTAAACCGAATCTTACTCACAGAATTTTTTGAAAAGCATAAAATAAATTTATACGTATACCCTTTTGAAAGATAACTAAATTTTAAACTCTACTACTTCTATGATTATATAACTTATATTTGTCGAATTTGAATGCAGACGAATGTGAAAAAATAGAATTTTATGCAGTTTTACTGCAAAACTTGTCCCCAAAAGTGAATGGATTTCCGAGTGACAATTCTCTCACCTTGCATTAATTATTCTCCTTCACCCGTAATATCGTACCTTTGTGAAATCTTATCTATTATAAAATTTAAAACTTGGGATGAATGAACATCAATGTACAGTGTATCCAAACATAACATCTCTTCATGTTTTACCCAATGAAAATTGTTAATTAAAAAATAAACACTTAAAATTTACCACAAATATAGAACTTAAAAGTTTTTATTTTGTATATTTTGTTTCACATTATCTTGGGACACATATATATGTTTGCACATATGCAAAAATAGATATTGGAATTCAATACGCCAGTTGCTAACACCGTTTTGTTACCAGTGCGATTCGTACACTCGGAGAAATTGGGTGATGATTATCACCAGATTTAGACGTATATGACTCTACCGAAATGGTGATAAGCTTCATCACCGATTGGTCATAAATTTGTAACCGAATGGTTACAAACGTAACCGCCTTGGTTTCAATTATAACCAATCTGCTTATAATGATAACTAGTCGGTGACTAGTCGGTGATAAATTTATCACCATGGCGGTAGGGTCATATATCTGTACGTCTACAAATCTTAACAATATTTCTGAGAGTGTATCGACTAGTTATTTATGTATGTTAATATATAATTGACTAAATGTTCCAAGGTTTCTAAAACAGTTCAAAAAACTCATTTTATCTCGTAATAAATAGGAACTTGCTAAGTAGACCGGAAACACAATACCAAGTAGCTTTTGGCAATTTACGGACACAAACATCTCTCTTGGGTGTGGCCGTACAAACGCACGCCGCCGTACGGTCGAGTTATGGCCACCTTTGTTCCGACAGCGTGACAGGGTCCTGGATTACAAAATTTAAAAAAATCTTTTGTGATTGAATATATTTATTGAATTCCCATCCTACTTACGTCCTCTCAATAATAGATTTTCCTCATCCTCAGAGCTGAAACTTCCCAATGTTTTTGGAACTATGAAGATGGCAAATATTACTATACTTGAGAAAACCTTCATTTTGGTGTCTATGTAAACCTATTTAGATAAGAAGACAATTTACAATTTATGTTTCCTCGTAAGAGTGAGATTGGACTGATACTTGAAAATTAGTAGGCTTATTTTTTATTAAAAGGTGGCGTACTGCTAGTGACGCATGTACTTAACTTTGTTCACGTGAACACGGAGAATATATTAATTTTATTGTACAGCAGAGATACCATAAAATCACAAGATACATATTTACAAGTCGAAAATAATTTAGTGTGTGATAATTGTTTAGCAACTCAAGTTATTTTCCATGCGAATATGAGAAGTTTGCAATTTGAGAATTAAATCTCTACCTTTTACATCAATGAGGTTTAACAAATATATGCTCTTTAGGTATGTTTTAACTAGACATGAACAAGAGCATGAGAAGGAATCTAAAGAGAGAGGGAAGGATTGAGAACTAAATTACCTATTTTCAACAAGGAGAATAAATTATAATTTTTGAACACATGTACATACATATAGACAAATTTCAGTAAAAATTACACTAAATATCGTCAATAATTGTCCAAATACATATTTAGCTCAGGGGGTAGTTACAGCCCTTGACATTTATTCAAGATGCCATTCAATTGCAACTACGCTACCGTTTTTAATAATATTTGTAATCAGCCGTACGAAAGAATACCACTTTAGATCCACCCTCAATTCCAAATCTCTCAGCTAGCACCTTGAAACCCAGGGATGTCATACCGATTTAAGGATGTCATTTCGTTTAATTTCTAATCGGAAGTCTAGATGACCTTATTTACTTATGACAACTTGAATTTTGTAGTTTTGACCGCTTTCCGGCTAATTTCGACATCTTTCGACATAGATACATATCGAAATGAGTAAAAAAAAATGTCGAAAAATGGTCAAATCCTCCATATTAAAGCTGAAATGAATAAATAAGGTCAAAATGCCTAATTTTTTAATTTTCAAGCTAATTAGGAAGGTTAAGATATTTATGTCGAAAGATGTCGAAATTTGTCGAAAAAGGTCAAAACTACAAAATTCAAGTTGTCATAAGGAAATAAGGTCATCTAGACTTCCGATTACAAATTAAACGAAATGACATCCTTAAATCGGTATGACATCCCTGGGTTTCAAGGTGCTAGCTGAGAGATTTGGGATTGAGGGTGGAGCTAAAGATGTATTCTTTCATACGGCTGTTTGTAATGTTGAACAAATATAAAAAGTGTTATATACATATTTAAGTACAAACTAACTTATTACTTATAAATTATTAGCTAATCTACGTATGGATGTACTGATTTTCATTTATTTCATTCATCCGCATGCTATAGCTTGCATGAAAAAAACGCCATTTCCTTTGTTTCTCCTGCCCCGAGTCCAACTGGCGAGGAGAAAGTCGTGGCACGAATTTGATTCCGCTGCTGATCCGCTCGTGTGTTGCTATTCATCAACAACAATAAATCTTTGGTTTAAATAATAGTTCCAGTAATTAATTATAATAAACCTAGAAACTAATCGTCCAATAATTATATTATTTCAACTTGGTAAATATTTGCATACCTAACATTTTGTAATGCTCTACAGTACAGTGACAGTAGTTTCGTAACAGATAGGGGGGATAGGGGACGTCCAAATATTACGTAAACAAAACGGGGGTGGGTGGTTTTGGGTCGCCTATTTTCATACCAGGGTAGTACGTTTGTTACCAACAACTAGTAAATTAATATCCACTCTGGTAAGAACTGTCACCAAGCAGTAACAAATATTACCACTTTGGTAACAAATCATCGGTCATTATCATCAGTCATGACAAATTTATTAGCATGGTTGTAGAGTCATATATGCATGCATAGTTAGTGACTATTAGTCACCACCGGTGACAGACCCATTACCGAATTATGTACGGATATTTACCCAATATTTGACAATATTAGAATTTTATCAGTTTATTTCATGCATGGGATGGTAAAGTGGGATATGAAATCGGATTTTAGATGACATAACAAATAGAAACTAATTAGTTTGGGCATCTTTTGCTAGCACACTTATTCCTGATTTATCTATAGATCAATATTTTAAACGCGGATTGGTTGATATAGCTCACCAATCCTTTACTGTTGTGAAATATTTGTGTATTATGGCTTCTGAATTCATTGGATTGCATTTGCTGAGATTTTTGCATTTTTTAATAAAAGTGCTAAGTTCACTAAAGAAGTGGAACACTAGCTAATTGGATAGTGACAATATGCAGTGGAAAATCATATGTACTGAAAAGTTCAGCCAGAAGGAGGTTTCAATAAAGTGGATACTTTCAGCTAAATTAGTGGACGGTTAAATTCAAACCCTTCTTTATTACAGCAAGCGGAAAAGAAACGATTCCTCTCCTCACAAATCTGGAACAAGATTGCTACCAGGCACAGCTCGAACACGGTATTATTTTACACGTTATTTAAAAGTGTCTAATCTTCTATTTTGAAGTCTTCATGAAAAACCCAGGGTAGAAAATCGTTCCTTACAACAAGGAGTATCTCCATAATTCTCCCGGATTATTTATCTTAATTTATATATTACCCCACAGCAAGCGGAAGGCTCCTCCACCCTCACCGGAGATACCCACCAAGTCTAGAAGAAGTTCTCGAATTTCGTCTAAACCACTGGGAAAATTTTCAGTTAAATCTTCCACACACACGGAAAAGCTTCCTACCATACTCGAGCAGAAAAAACCTCAAAAATTAGTCACTACGAAACAACTGGCCGTTAGTCCTCCCGAAATCTGGGGTGATATTAAACCTGATGTCGATGATCTCACCCATGTTTCGTCCAAGGGGAAACACGACGGTATCAGTGGGGCCGTGGTGGAAACTTCTGAAATCAAGGTCGAATACGAGGCTGACCTTGACCTCGTTGATGACTTTGTTAATCGAGTCTTTCAAGACGGTGACAGTTTCCAGGGGTCCACTGGTGTCGGTACAAGTAGTGAGGACGAGACGGAAAACAGCAACGACGACGATCCTGAGTTCTACGTCAGTTCTGAATCCAAACCTATCCGACGAGGTGTGCGGCGGCGGACTGTTGTCAAAAAATCAAATCATTCTGAAGGGTATGAAAACTGTGTTTATTTACTACAAGTGGTAATTTTTGGGGGGAAGTTTCTTAAAGAGGTGTAATAATTTTTTGCTCTGATAAAAAATAGCTCATTTTTGACCGTACTCACATCAACGTTATAAATCTCGCAAATTTAGCACAGCCACCTAAGTTTATGATATGCAAAATTTCGTAAAACCTTTTCTGAAAATGTCCAGGAGTTTCTTCGCAACTTTGCGAGCCGGTGGGAATGTTTCTATTTAGTAAAAGTTTGTGGAAATACGGAGTATGAAGTGATCGTGAGGAGATTGCAAATATAACTAACTATAATAACTATCACTACTATATTAGATAAAATGATCCACTCTTTCTTTATTACAGACCTGCCATCAAGTACGGAGCTATTGGCCCCCTTCCCTTCAAATGCGGTCCGTGCGGAAAATCATTCTCCAAACTGGTCACGCTAAACCGTCACGCATCACGTGGTCACCCCTTCGCCTGCCTGGCGCCAAAGTGCGATTTCAAATTCGACTCCGAGACAGCAAGAGCCACCCACGTCAAAACCACCCATCCGGACGTGTTTCCCCGCATCCGGTGCGCCCTCTGCAATCGGGCATTTGCTCACGAAAATGCGCTCGCCGCGCACATGGTGGCGCGCCACGAAACTGGCGAGAAGATATTCTCATGTCCCCAATGCACCAAGAGTTTCGCGCTAGAAGCAAATTTCACCCGTCACGTGACCCTCTACAAGGTTGAAGCGGACAAACCGATCGTTTGCGACGTGTGTGACAGACGTTTTAGCGACGATGAGGAGCTCAAACAGCATTACGTCATTCATAATAAGAAACGCTCTATCTGCCCCCAATGTGGGGACGCATGTTTCGATAAGGTGGACTTGGAGAGGTATGTATGTTTGTATAAAAAAATAATTTCATTATACTAATCCTAATAAGTTTTAAGTGCAGTCGATCCTTAATTTGAAAACCACGTAGTGCTGTCATATTACATGTTATTCTTGGACGCTCAACTCGTTTTAAAATTAAGCATCTACTGCACTTAAGTCTTTTTAGAATTAAAGTTGTACTGCATTCAAGTCTCTTTAAAATTAATCACCGACCTCACTTAAGTCTTTCTATAAATACTACGACCACTTGCTTTCAAAAGTTTTGCCAATTTTTACGTCTATATTGAATATATCCGTAATACAACAATTTAAACCAATTTTAATTTACCCTTCAGACACATCCGTCTCCGTCACACGGGCGAAAAACCAGAGAAGTGTGACCGCTGCGGAAAATCCTTTATCGACAAGCACTGTCTACTCATACATTCCAAACACGATCACCCATTCGCCTGTCACGAGCCGTCCTGTCCACTCACATTTAACGCTATGAAGTTAAGGGACACCCACGTCAAGACTGCCCACCCCGGAATCTCCACCAAATATCCGTGCACCTCCTGCACCTCTACATTTTCTCGGGCCTCCTGTCTCGCCAGGCATGTGAGAACTTATCACGACAACAAGTTCTCATGTGACAAGTGCAACAAGACGTTTTCGTTTGAGGAAAATTTACAACAGCACATGGCCTCAGTTCATGAGGGGAACCAGAAGTTCGTTTGTGGAACTTGTGACGCAATACTTGACAACGAGACAGAGTTGGCAAAACATGTTAAGAAGCACCACGACAAAAAGGGCGGGTTTGTGTGTAACCAATGCGGAATCCGTTGTTCACTTAAGTCGGGCCTAGAGAGGTAAGAGAGAGTAGTGTTAATTTTTGTTAACTGCACTAATGGTAAGGTGGGAATTGCAATTGGGAGTTAATTCTCAGCAAAACTCAAAGTTAGATTCTACAGCTTTAGCTAATTTGTCATGGCATGTCATTTGATTTGTTACCAAAGTTGTTATATTTATTACTTCTTGCTTTGTAGCAGATATTACAAGTGTGGTTATAACTTATTAGTGACAAATATTCTACCATGGAGTAGACTTATATACTTACATGAATATTGTCACCACCTGGTAATACATACCTGTTACCAGATTTTTGTTACTAATGTACGGTAACAAAAACTTAATGTTGCTGGGAATTGTTGCATCTATTCCGCAAATGTTATCCATCGGCGTATAATTTTGTCCACATTGGAACTCGCAATTCTGTGGAAAACTCAAAATTGTAGCTATTTACGTCATTAAAAAACGCTCTATTTGATTTCCTTCTTCAGGCACATGCGCCGACATTTGGGAGCAAAATCGGTAAAATGTGAGCAGCGCGGGGAATCATGTTTCGACAAGGCTGCCCTTGCCAAACACGTAAATCTCGTCCACCTCCCGTCCATTCACATCTGCCACGTGTGCGGGAAGAATTTTCCCCTTGCTAAACGTCTGTCAGAGCACATCAAACGCCACAGACCGGACAAACCCATGCGGCGGGACAAATCTGACGTACCTGACGCCCTCAAGCGACGCGTCGTGTGCACAGATTGTAAGGAAGAGTTTTTAGAGCCCAGGACTTTAAAGGCGCATCGGATCAAGCATCATGGCGACGACCCATGGGTTTGCGACATCTGGTAATTTTTTCTTAATTTGACTGGATAATTGTTGCAAATGGGGGATTTATTTAGAAAGTTAAATACATGTTTTTCCAGTGGCTCAACTTTTGCAACTGCGAACGGGTTCGCAATCCACGCCAAGGCCCACAGTGGTGAGAAACCCTACAAGTGTGATGTAAGTTGTTGCTGATCTATAAAATTAAAAAAAGTTTCTTTTCCTCTTAAAAACCAGTTGTCCTTGTAAAATGTGACCTTAAATTAATTGTGTGCGTGTCTTATTGTGATTGGTGCATTGATTTTGGAGACGGCCCCTCTGGCCGTCTCCCATAATAATTATTGTGAAAAGTTTGACCATTCTCATTCTTGTCTCCGAGGAGGAACATTCGGCCCGTCACATTCTAAAAGATAATCACCCATTGTAATAATTTGAAATTGTCGTGACTAATTAAAAACTCTATTGTGAAATTTAATCTCTACGCCCAAATCATTTCGACAAGTCGCTATCCCCACCGCCGTCACCATCATCATACACATAATAATAATCGCCAGTCAGGGTCCTTTCACAATCGCCAGCCAAACAGCACATAGTTTATGTATCTCAACTACAGAAGCCGTAGCCGGGGCCGAGCGACTCCCCCACTTTCCCCTTCCCCCATCACAACAAAACCAGGTCATGGGACCCCCGTAGACCCGCCTCTGCTGTCCTCCCGCATGCACGATCCCCTCCCCCACTCTTCCACCAACCACTCCTCCCCACGGTTACCACCCCGATTTACCAAGCAAAAACCTACCTGGGGGAGTCCTCCCGAGCGTAGATCTGACGGGGCCAGAAGTCCGGCGTATCCTCTTTGCCTGATGGCACACCTTGTCGTTGCTGGGGCGGGTGGGGTCAGGGGGCGTGAACAGGGTCGCAGGTGGGGGGTGTGAGTGGACGAAGCTCACTCTGGCAATACTCCCTGACACGCACTTTACTTGCCCTAGACAACCACCCGTGACCCAGATGGTAGAAATCCATGCAGCAGGAGCGAGAGACAGATGCGTGTAGCCCCGTCAGAAGCTGCGAGAGAACTCATATTTCTTAGTAAATGTCGTTAGGTTTCAAGCATCCAATTACATATGTATGTATCTATATATACATAAATATGTATGAATCAGTTTAAGCTGCATCTTATTCTAACGGATACAGACAAATTTAATTATTGTACAAAAATCAAGACGTACCTAGGAAGAACGTATTTCTGATTTTCCCTACTGCCCTATTACTCAGTGACAAACTATTGTAAAATAGAACGCCTTTGTAAGTCAAAGTTTTTGATTTTCTACACACTATATCACTATCTGATTAAGGAATCTGCCAATTTTTTTAATTTCTCACTAAATGAACGAGACTTGTTCCCCAGCGTAATTTATGAAGGTGAGTGGTGTAAAATTTAGTTGCAGAGAAACAAATTTAGTTATTAATTAATGAACAATTAATAATTAATGAACAAGTTATTATCTAAAACACGAGAGGCTCTTTGCAGAGCTTAATTCAACTCAATTTATCTTTATTCAGAGCTTTATGCAGATCTTATTTAGATACCACACCCACTAGGGGGTTCGTTTCTTATAAGTTAATTCTCTAATAATTAATAATGTAAGTACCAGGGACACGCACAAAATTAACCCAAGCACATTGCAGAGGAGTGTGGAAAATGGTTTACTTCTAGGTTATGTACGATGGAAAAACAGGATAAGCGGTCAGTAAGTGAGTGAGGGTAATCCTCTGGACAATAACATGCTTTTTAACAATAACAGCTTTCCAGCTACCTATACTTGCTGCCAATTTTAAGAGAATCCATTAGCTGGTTCAAATTTTACAGGACCTTAAACCCGGGCCCATCAACCACCAGACATACCATATTTATTAGTGACTGGATCAGCATATTACTTAGAAATATTCGTGGAGGGTAAAAATTTTGTAGAGGTTGAACATAAGTGCTGGCTGAAGAATAAGAATTGACATTTTATGGAGCAATATATAATCGATATATTTACAAAGTTAATATGTATAACATATTGTTCTTAAGAACAATAGTAAATTTAGTAAATTTCCTAACAATCTATTCCTTACTTATATTATAGTTTTCCGAAGGAGCAATATGTTTTAAATTTAAAACACACGTATATAATTTTACGGTCAATAAGGCGCAAGTACTGTGCACTGAGTCCCAAAATTATATTACGTACTTCAACCACAAAGCTGAAACTGGCCAGCAAAGTTGTTCCCCCGCATAGAATGAATAATGTTAGGATTGCACCCACCAACTTAAAAAAAAGCATTGGCTGGCGGATCGAATTTAACCGGCCTACGATGTAAATACTTTTGGTGAATCTCCTCCCAGAGAAGCCGTCCGTAAATTCCACTCTCCAACAATTGTGCGAAATATTTTGGCACTTTGGATAATCTTTGGTTTCTCATATGCCAGGAATGAGCTCGTTGCTCAAAGACTTCTTTCCCTTTGTAAAATCGTCTTGATGGATAATGTTTAGAAAGGAAATCAAGCTCTCCTTCGATAATGTCCGAATTTGAAATATAAATACAGGGTGTTAATAAAGTCCGATCCCATTTTTCCTGTAAAAAAGTGAAGGCTAGTATAAAAAAAAACTACCCGTGATACTTACAAAAAATGTTCGACATATTTACCTTAGTATTTGGTCTTGTTACCATTTACTTTAACCATGCCCTCAACTCTTTGTTTAAGGCTCTGTGCTAATTTTTCCAATGTGCCTCTGGAAATCGAATTCCATACATCTTGAACTTTTTTTTACTAGCTCTTCCCTCGTCCGGGGTTGTGGCTCTTTGTATACATTTTCCTTAAGTATGGACCACTGGTTGTTCAGGGGATTCAAATCTGGGCCGTTAGCGGCCCACACCCCCTGGCTCCAGACCGTTGAAACTTGCGTCTTGATGAGACTCAAACTCGCTTTTGCTGTATGGGCTATAGCACCATCCTGCATGAAAACTATTTTTCTTTCATTCGGAAATATTTCCTTGTTCCCCATGCTATCGAAATAGATAGGTAATATTTTTTCCATATAATGCTTTGCATTGACTGATTGGCCTTTTGGTATGATATGTAGAGGGGTCACGCAACGTGCACAAAATCCACCCGCTACCATAACTTTAAGCCCGAATTTTGGGATCGCTCTTGATGGTACATCCGATTTGTTTTCTGTCCTGTAACGAACATTTTGTTGGTTCAATTTTGGATATAGTTCAATAATAGATTCGTCAGTCCAAAGGATGTGACTGCGCAATTCTTCACCAAGTCTTTTTTCACTCAAATGGGCACTTTTCTGAAGGAGTTCTTCAAATTTCAGACGGTCATCGATATATTTTTGTGACATGAGAGGTTTTTTTGGTTAGTTTGTAAGCTGTGTGACCCCACTTCGTAGTTTTCACAAATTTTTGCACGGTCACACAGTTAATTTGCTTCTTCTTCTCTTTATAGCGTTTTGAGTCATTTAACTCCCTTGCTCAATTACGTAATGAACTACCGGTTTTCTTGCAAAGTCTGTTTTTAATCATTCTTTTTGTGGTAGGTGACACCTTTCTGGGTCGCCCGGGTCGCTTTTTGTCGTGGACAAAATTTTTATTCTTCCATTTCCAAACAGTTCTGCGGCTGCAGCCCAATTTTTGCACAATTTCTGTAGGTTTAAGCCCCTGCTGATGCAATGTTTGTATCTCAACGCTAAGATGCTCATGACTTACACGTTTAGTTGTTCCTCCCATGGTAAAAATTTGAAATAAATAACTTCACTGGTTCAAAAGTTCCAGCTGAATTTGTAACAACCACGCTCCAAAAAATGCATGGGATCGGACTTTATTAACACCCTTTAAAATGCGGATGATATTAAAATATGTAATTTCGTTTCTTAAATAATTTTTCAAAAACTGTTGGGCCCACGGTTTGGCAACTTGCAAGCAATTCGAATCCTAAAATTTTTAAATATAATAAATTCTTCCTTTGTCTGCTCTCGGTCAAATTACAAAATACAAAATTTCTTGTTTTCTTTTTTTATTTGCGACTCACTATCCCACAGAAGACTGTTTTTTACAAAAATTATTTATTTTATAGTTTGTCGATGTAAATATAAAAAAATACTTACGATCTCCAAGAATTTTAATCAAACCTCCTTCTTAATATAGCTTTGCATTATTAAGTGTAGGAATTGGTTTATGTCATAAATAAAAGTTAGTACAAAACCGCATGCCATTTTTTCATGTCAATTTGCCGTTTTGTATGTTTAACCTTAGAAGGGTAGGAATTCGGCGTCATCGAATGAACCAGTTTCTACCATTAGCTCAAATTGCCCAGTTGCAATTCACCCCACATCAAGACTGAACGTACTCGATAATACCTTTTGATAGGTACCCCATATGGTCGAACGTCTGATTGACTGGCACATCAGGACTCCCGAACTAATAGGGGGACTGATGGACAACAACCAGTACGCGTATATGAAAGGTAGGTCAACGGAATCCGCAATGCACCAAATCGTTGCAAGAGCTGAAGGAACCCTGAGGACACGTGAGCACGCAATTGTTGTGTTCATGGACATTCGGGGGGCGTTCAGTGATGCAACGGTTCAGTCCATTGAGGATGGTATGTACAGGAATAAAGTCGATCCGGTGTGTGCAAGGTTAATCTCGCACATGCTTAGAAACCGGGTGGTGCGTACAGCATCTCACGGGTTAAGCAGAGTGGCGGAAAGGGGCTGCCCACAAGGTGGCGTACTTTCTCCCCTGCTCTGGAACCTAGTGGTGGATGAGGTACCCAAGAAATTGAGGAACTCTTTACCACAGGTGTACTCAAACGGCTATGCCGATGATATAAGTACTTTGAGTCGCGGACTGGATCTGGGGACAGTGGTACAGGATGCTCAACGGAGCATCAATATAGTGAATAGGTGGAGTCAGCAAGTAGACCTCGGCGTTGAGGGCGACAAGGTGGCTGCCATTCTACTCACGAGCAAGCGGGTAGGGAGCGAAGCTTTACTTAGTATTGCTGGAAAACCTATTCCGTTTACTAAATCTGCAAAATATCTTGGGGTCACAATTGACAGCAAGCTATCTTGGAAACCACATTGTACGGGCTACCAAGGGTATGATGGCCCTGGCTGTCTGTAAAAGGGCGATTGGACCCACATGGGGACTTAGACCCTCTACAGTGATGTGGATGTATAAAACCATCGTCCGACCGACAATGGAGTATGGAGCAGTGGTGTGGTGCAGTGCTTCGAAAGTCAAATGCCATATGAAACTCCTGGATAGGGTACAGAGGGTGGCAATGCTGTCGACCTCTGGAACCATGAGGAATACTCCCTCTGCGAGTTTGGAGTGCCTATTCGGGCTTGAGCCGATGGACATTCGGATTCAAAGAGTCGCACTTTCAACAATGTATCGTTTGCAAGTGAACAACCAATGGTTGGGATGGTATGGGAGGGGATTCAAAGGGCCCATGTCACACATGGACCTTTGCAATAACCTCTCTAGTAAAGTAACCGTTTGCGGGCCTGGGAAATCGGACCGTAAAAAGGCCTGTAGAGAGTGGGCTGAAAAAGCGCACAAATCTAGGTGGCAGGACACTCATCTGTGTAAGCAGACCAAACTCTTTCTTAAGGAGCCATACCAGGCAAACTTGGGGAACATTGTAAAATTAAACCGTAACTCACTGCGCCAACTGGTTCAGGTAATAACGGGGCATAATACTTTGAACTCACATCTGTATAATTTGAACCTGGTGTCCTCCCCTGGCTGCTTGTGCGGACAGGGGAAGGAAACAGGGTATCACTTTATTACAGAGTGTGATTGTTTTGCGATGACTAGACTTGTAGTACTCGAAGGGCTTTATCTGACCTCCGAGGAATTACTTGAAATGCCGTTTGCCAGGTTAGCAAGGTTTATTGCTAAGTCTGGAAGATTTTTAAACGATCGCGAATGGCAGAATTCGCAATATTAAACGCAAGTGTCCTTAGGGGAGTCGGCAATTAGCCTTAAATGCGCTACCGCCGCTGGCCTGGCTGTCTCTATTAATGAGTAGTCTGGTCACCCCATATAGTACATACATACAAGGATCAGTGCAGTTGATAAGATTAATAACCTAGGAAAATATTCAGCAAATCTTTTATGGCGTTTTTACGTCTGTGCTTCTTGATGAATTAATTCGACTGGAACGTATTTCTGGGCATAAATATTTAGCCTATACTATTTTTGTCAAGTAGAATACAATTTGGCCATATGACTTCACTTATTACGTGTTTTGCATACCTAATACCAACAGAATGCGTTTGACAAACTCACTGTTTAAATTGTGGCGTTTGGCCTTAATTTTTACTAAATTTGTGCATGCCGCGGATATTCAAAATGTCTCAAGTGTTACTGATTTACTTGGAAATTTAAGTGACTGCGACTTACAAATGATGTATTCCGATTCTGAGGATTTAGATAGTCAAATGTCTTTTAGTGTTCTCAACATGGTATTAACTATCGTATTCGTGCCACCGAAAGACCGTCGGTTGATAGGTGTTCGCAACCGCTACAGCCTTGATATTATTAAGTCTCGTGTATCATTTTGTCGGTTATCTTTTATCTTTTCTGGCCGAGCTAAGGAAAATTTGGGTAATGAGATTTATGGCGATGACATTAATGACGACGGTATTGAAAATGACGGCAATGAAGACGACGATACTGAGGATGACGACGTTGAAGATGACGATATTGGGGATGATAACATTGAAGATGTCGACATTGAGGGTGACGACGTTGATGATGATGACATTAAGGATGACGACGTTAAGGATGACGACGTTGAGGATGACGACGTTGAGGATGATGACATTGAAGACCAAGATGATATCTGGGAACGGTTCTTCAAAGGTGATGTAGATTATTTGGTAGATTTTGCATCAAGCCATCATCTATACTACACTACCTATTCAATCCAAAACATGCCTTCTTTCCAATTGGTTTTAGTTATTTCAGTAAAAACTTAAGTTATTCAGGAATCCGGAGTAAAATTGAACGAGAGGTTGTGCAATGTGAGAAGACGGTTTTCATTGGAAAATCTTCAGACGTTAGATTGGAGTATGAATTTCTATCAAGAAAATACACCGATATAAAATTTTTCAGAAGTAGTCAAACATTGGAACCTTATCCGATAGGTATATTATTCCAGCATGGATGGAAATCAAAAATTGTGGAAAGATTTAAAAGGGTATCAGAAGCTGGGATATTGACGCTTATATTAAAAGAAGATTTGAGCAGGGTAAATTCTAATCGCGCACCCGCCATTGTGTTTAATAAAACAAAGGGATTTAAACCTATAAATATTGCCAGCCTAGAGGGAAAGTGGTCAACAATATTTATTCTATCAGGTAGTATAATTTGTCTTGCTTGTGTAGTGCTTCTTATAGAATGCAGGTTCTATGTTGGTCGCGTAATTGTAAAAATATACGCTCTAATATTATTCAGACATTACAAAAATTCAAGAACCGAGGCTGCTGACAAAATTATTCGTATCGCCGTCGCAGTGACAGAGTTAGGTAAGAAGTAATTAATTTTAAAGTGGAATAAAGTGAAAAAGTTAGCGCGTACAATTTTCGCAGAGTATAAACATAATGACTTAGATGTCCAAATCCAAATCATGTTGATACATAGATAAGAAACGGTTTGTGTATAAGTACATAAGCACACCTACATAATAAACATGTATGTATGTGTTGTGTATGTAGATACACTTGTGTGTTGTATATTTGTTTATCTAGATAAAATAATACAATAAATAAACCTTTAATAAAAATCATAATATACGCAAACGATGGTTTAAACGGTTTACTGTTAAAAAGCTCTGTATGATATTCCGGTTTTGAAACATTTGCAACATTGTTTCATAATTAGATAGATAATATGATTCTCATCAGCAGATGTACGATTATAGTTATGCAGAGGAAGAATGAAGGTCCAGTTGATAACTTTAACCTTAACGTACTCGATAGTCATAGTCTCGCCATAAAAGTCGTTGCGACAACTTTTGACTTACTTTTTGGCAAGTTGCCGAAAAGTGAGTTTTACAGGCAATTCCTTCACTTTGTTGAAAAAGTCATGCTTTGTGCTCAATTTGGGATGAGTGTCGACCCTTAGCTCGGTTGACACCTCGGAAGTGTCCCCAGTCGTTTTGCAGACGTCCGGTTAGTGAACGTCATGAAAATTGCGAGTCGTACGTAATACACATTCTTTATCAGTTCTGTATATGTGCAATGTATACATAACGGTTGCATCATCTCGCGTGGCCAATTCATGCAACATTTTTACAACTTTGGCGTACTTATCATCACAAAAACACAATACTTATCATCATTAATTTTGATTGAGCGGTTGCAAAATTATTTCCAGCTCAACCCGCACACCAATAGACTAACCTAACCTAAAAAATAAGATAAGTAAATAAACACTTCATTGCGCATTAATTTATGCATGATAAACACGCGTAGGGTTGTACGCTTGCTCATGTGCAGAACATTTGATGCCTATTTTGATCACAAATTAATCTGATGCCAACCAGGGCATGCAATGCTATCGCATGTATTTCATAATTAGACCGACAAGTCACGTTCAAGAAAAACGCGGCCAAATTATAAAATTTCTACCATAGCCAAATGGCAAGCAGTGTTTCATCACAAATGGTACATACCATGGGTTCAACTCCCAGTTGCGACATCCTTTTTTTTAGAGTTCTCTAGAGCGCCGATAACAAATTACTCCAATGTTAAAAATGTGGCGAAATTTTTGAGTGAAGCTAAATCTCACACAGCTCCAATACTGGAGTTAAACTTGTCTTAAATTAAATGTGGTTTTTAGCGTGGTGTGTGAATCCACCAGGGTGAGCTCCTTAATGATTCGCCTATCTATGTTTATATGGAGTACATAGAGCAACTGCACAATGCCACAAAGTCAATACCTCGACCATCGCACAACTGTTAATATTAATTAGTCACCAATATTTGTAACCCTACCAAAACAAAGGACTTGTTATCTGAATGGTGAGGAACGTGCTTTGGTGTGGTGTGCATAACCTTGATTGACAAGACAACAGATGCAATTAATTTTATCGCGAAAACTATGGTGATAAACACTTGAAATCGTGGATGAAAAGAGACATGATTCTCGCCCATGGTAGCACACATTAAGTTTTCACGAGAAAATAATAATTTATTTTTAACGATGAAGTTCATTCTTTCCTTTGCACTTGTCGGGATCCTCCATGCCGTTGGGCGGGTGGAGTCCCACGGCTACATGAAGGATCCCATTGCGCGGACGTCCATCCAACTGAGGCCAGAGTTCGGGACGAATCAGCCCTACTGGTGGGACAATACGGGCGTCTGGTGCGGCAATGTGAACCAAGACATGCAGTATTCCAGCTGTGGGAGGTGTGGCGACGCGCCGGGGGAATCGACGGCGAACCAGGGCGGGATTTATGACAAGGGCGTCATCGTCAGGAATTATACTAGTGGATCGGTATGTAGGGGGGATTATTTTATTTGAGAGGGTGGGATTACAGTTAATCCAACAAGTAAAGAGTCCACTCACATGATACAAAACCTTATACCTTTATCATGAGTTGACAAATTGTTGTGAAAAATTTAAAGTAGTTTTCGAGAGTAGAAAGGTTACTTAGCTAAATTAAGTAAATAAAAATGTATTCTTGATTAATTGATACGGTACGTCGAAGACTATAATTTTCGCTATAATCTTTCGAATCTCCCGTTTCCATGACCTAAACACTTCAACCTTTGACCTTACCACGTAGTTAAAATTGTGCAAGAATAGCTATTAACTACATTCATATTTTGGATTTAAGATATTAAATTATTTAAAATATTGGATTTTTCCCACCAGATAATTGAAGTCGTCGGGAACTTTGATGCCCCACATTACGGCTCCTATGAGGTTGAGCTTTGCCCAAATCAACAGGAAACTGATAACTGTTTTTATAAGTTGCCTATCGTCGGAGGTTCTGAAGAGGTTCGAATCGATGACCGGATGTGCGTCCCACACTTCGTGGGTACTGTCGAGGTCACCGCTCGGGTTCAACTCCCCGCCGGGGTGACTTGCAACAGATGCACGATTCGATGGACGTATCGAACTTCATACCCTGGACCGGCGGGTAGGTTGAGATTTGCGGAAAGTGAGTCACTCGTTTAAGGTGGAAAGTTTAAATTTATATTTTCTGTAGATTGGGAAAGCTGTTTGAACCGAGAGCCAGCCCAGACGTTCAGAAACTGTGCGGATGTCGCGATTCATTAAATTTGACGTGAAAATGTATACATGTATTTATTCAGAAATTTTATCCAATTGCAACAAATTTTTAGTAGAGTGTTGACCGAATCAAGTTAAACGAATTTCAATAAATTATTTATATTTACAGCAGAATAAAATTACTTAGTAGATCAAGTGCTGAAAATGATTTCATAGTACTTAGAGGAATTTATAACACAAGAGAAAGCATTGTGATAATGAAGGTTATCAGAATTCTTCCAATTGTAACCTGAAATAAATTTTACATCAAACCGAATAAGCTCATTTTTTCTAACTAATTACTTAAGCAAACAATTAACAACCCGATCAACAACAAACTGCCATACAATGAGGGGCGTAGTTTTATCGAAGAATCTTCCATCCGCCATTTTTATTTGGTATTGTGAGCAGGATCTGACATAGCAACGAATCCATTTGCTTCCTCCGCCTGGAAGTCTCTTCCGATGTTGAAAAAGCTGCTTCGAGGCGATGCAAGGGTCTGCCAACAGCTTGAACTGAAGCATGATCATAGTCGCACTTTCAACCAAGGTTAGTGCAAACATGATGGCTTGCTCGGCAGGAATTTGGTCAACTAGCTTGATCACAATGTAAAGTTAGACAATTGCAGCAACCAGCCAAGCTCCTAGAAGTATTTGAATCAGGGGAAACTTCCAAAAGTTATTTGCCAAGATTGACAGCAACTGAATTTCCCGGTAGCCTTTGATCTTTTCATCGTTCCCATTGTTCAGCTCTCTAATAAAAATTAGTGGACACCCTCTTGCATAATGCAATTTTGACTAGTCTAGGTAATTTTCAATTAAGTATGTTCAATATATGTGGATTGTAAGAAACTCCTACCCATATATCAGTTTTTCAATCGCGCTATCATTACGTTATTTGAAATTACACGCCCTTGAACCCTTACTATAACTCGACTATGGTGTGTGTAAAATTAATAGGCCGGATTTTTCTAAGAGTTTAGGTGGCCGATGATACAATTCTTAACGCATTGAAAAAAACGGAAATTTTAAATTTTCTATGACATCTAAAGTTTACAAAACCATTAAAAATTTTCAAATCACCCGACAAGTGACCGATCAGCGCTTCGCCCAACTAACAGAAAATGGACTATTAATTTTACACAGACCATAAGATCTTCCTTATTGTATGTGGAATTGTTAGTTGGCAAAATCTCGACACAAAATTGCGTTGCCTTAAAAGTGAATCCTGCAGTGCAGTCTCACTCTACCCAATAGCAGGCAAGGTTTTCAAAATATGTACATCCACCTTCCACGAGTCACTTGTGAATAAGCCATCTCAGATTAATCGAGTTGAAATTACCCCCACGAGTTTTATGTTCTTCACTTCTTACATAAATACCTGAAATTGAGGTCGATAAATGTACTTACACATTTGTCGCCCCTAACGACTTAAAATGCTATTTATGCTAATATTTCACACATTAGGTTAGATGTCAAAGACGGGCAACTTTATGGTTGTCCAGACTTTTGGCCTGTTGCAACCACATTAAATTCCTCACTGGTAGTACCATGCAGATAGAAATTTTAAACATTAAAAAAAATATCCTATCCCCTCTTCAGAAACTAATATAAGTTGGGATTGAAATGAACACAAATTGAGGACTTAAAGAAATAAATCGAGCATGTACCCCACAGCATGTTCAGTTTTTTGGGGCCACCTTGCCCTAACCAAGAAACAGTAAATTACATTAAGAATGTTAACATTTCATATACTCAGCATTTCTTTCAAGTAGGATTGGCAAAACAAATTGTGTATTCTAATTTTTTTACACATTTGTTTCATTCATACCTAACTTTTTTGTTAGATTATAGATCAATAAAATAATAAAAGTACACATTAGAAATAAAATTGTCATCCATATATGCAAACAAACTTGTTGGAAATGAAAAAAATAAATGCGTTGGCAGATATCACGTCCCATTTGGCTCCAGTTAAACATCTTGCCACTAGTAAGGCATTGGCTGTGTGGAAGACGCCGTGTCTACCTGAAATAAATCTTTATGACTCTAGCGTAATAAAATCTGTTCTCTGCTGAGACTTGATGACGCATGCAAAGCTCTACTTGTTCGTATAATGTAAATATGTAGTTATTAATAAATAAATAGGTTAATGATGCCAACACAATGTAAATAATGACTTCATTTCAGTATAGAATTTAATTTCAGAAGCAAACATAAAAACATGTGTCGTTCTATTTATAAGCTAGACATTGTATAGGCACGTACGGATGGGTATTTAAGCACAATGTTGCATAGCCTAAGAAGATCATTTTTCCCATTTTCGTGCTCTACGCATGTTGGCAGTTATTTATAGTGTAAAACACCAATTAATTTTTTGTACGTGGAAAGAAGTTTCCACAAATAATTGAAACGATGCAATTATCAGCCTTTATAATTGCTTCGATGGCACTATCCATCCAGTACTATGCCGACCAATTTCGAGAAGATGATTTGGAGATGACCCTGGATGAATTGGCGCCCGACCGGAGCCTTCCGGTTATTAAGACGTTCGACTTTGTGATAGGCAAGTGCTATCTAAATTCTATTTGGTTTTCTATTAGCTTATAAAAAATTGGGTCACAAAAATATCCGACTATTGACCACGGCACACCCGAAAACTTTTTTTTAGTTTGGTTTGTCACATTTAAATTCTCCTATCACGTGACATAATTTATGGACAGCCCCTGAAATATGACAAATGATTTAAAAACTCATTATTTCTTGTATTTAGTTGGAGGTGGTGCGGCTGGATGTGTTTTGGCTGGTCGGCTGTCGGAACGTTTTAGCGTTCTTCTGTTGGAGGCTGGAGGCAACCCGGTGCCAGCTACGTACAATCCGTACCTCAACAACATTGTGGAAAATCATCCAACTATCAACTACCTATTCCAGGCTCAGAATCAAATCTAATTCCGTTGGTGGGGTAAGTTGAACTATATTTAAGTAATATGTATTGATTATATTTTCTAGCAGTTATGTAAATACTTAAATACCATTTCCATTTAGATGCTCGTGTCCACGACAGGTCGTATGATGGGAGGTTCTTGGTCACATAATGGGAATATGTACAATCGAGGCTCTCCCCAAGACTATGATAACTTTTCTAGGCTAACTGGTGACGAATCGTGGTAATACGCTAGTCTCCTGCAGCATTTCAAGAAACTTGAAAATTTTAATGGCCGTCTTGTCAATGAGGAGGAGAAACACAGTAAGTTTAATTTCATGTAAATCGAGTATCGAGTAGTAGTACATGATCGTAAAGTAGTTTCTACGGCTGAGTTGGTGACCAGAGCGGGACATTAATGTAGCGAGGGTCCTATAAGTCGGCACTGTCACGTGAAATATTTAGCATGACGTGACTTGAGGAAGAAGGTAAATAAGAAGTCGTAAATGAATTAATCCTGATGCAAATATTCATTTATATTTCAGAATTTTACGGCAATGTGGGCCCTTTCCATGTGGAGACAGACTGGCCAGGCACAATGGATGGATGGGTGCAGTCGGCAAAAGGACTTGGTTTTAATGCTGTAGACTCCAACGGGCAACAAGCAGAAGGTTTGTGTAAAGTGTTTACAATACCTCGAAAAAAAATTATGACTCTCAATCCCATAATAAAAATACAAGCACAAATAATCATAATAAATTGTTGTAATATGCGCAGGATTTGCGCCAGCGGTAAAATCGGTCTTGAAAGGGGAACGAGTCAGCACATACACGGCTTTCGTTAAACCAATCGAATCTACTCGAACTTCCTTGAAAGTGTTGCGATACTCAGAAGTTCAAAATGTACGAGGGTTCATTTCCGATAATTGTAGCGAAGAATCTTCTACGTGAAATTTTCTTTTAGTGCCTAGATTCTCATTGATGACAACAAACGAGCGTATGGTGTTACCTACTTTCGCCACGGGATGCCACAAATCGCGCATGCGTCGAAGGAAGTTATTATTTCTGCGGGTACCTTTTCCTCGCCCCTCCTTCTCATGAAGTCCGGCCTGGGTCCGAGGTCCGTCTTGGTAGAGGCGTGACTTCCGGTTAAGCAAGATTTGCCCGGGGTTGGTCAAAACCTTAGGAACCATGTGTCCCTTTTGTTGTCGTTTAGTGCGACCAAGCCAGATTGGACGCTATTTCCCCGACTGGAAGAAAACGATGTGGAAAGGGAATTGAAACTACGTGAGAAACATGTTGGATTTTTCATCGACCAAGAATTCTCACCGCAAGCGTTTATCGTGTCTCCGCAAGCGAAAGGAAAAAATGAGTCTAATTGGCCGGACGTGTTGCTCTTCTTGCAAAGACATTCAACCCTTGGAGAGAAGAACACACAAATTCTTGGAATTTATGTTCAAGTCACGAGACCGGAATCGGTGGGAGAAATTGGGCTGAACACGGCCGCATTTTTAGCGGGTGAAAGAAATGATACGAATTTGGCCTTGATAGACTTCAAACAATTTAGCAGAAAACATGACGTTGATGCGATGATTGAAGGTAAATTACTGTGTCTATAATAAATGCTTTTGCGCGTAAAACTTTTACATTCTTACCACCATTTGCCGTGACATCATTTATGGAGACACTATTACGAAACATTTTTTTACTTGGCCTTACGGATGAGCAAGATAATGTGGTGGCCACGTGGGGGGCAGAGGTTGTATATTTGTTCAATTTCGTTTCATCGCCAAAATATATTCGCAAGGGTACAGATCTAAATAGCTCTGGTATGGTTGGTCAAGTAAAATTAGAGCGTTTTTTGATTTTAGAATTAACAGGTGGCCGACTTTGTAATGTTAAATATCTCGGGTTATCGAAACTCGAATTATTTTTTTCAATAGATGATGGATTTCCTAAGTTTAAAAAGTTTTCGAAATATTGGATCATGAAGTAAATTAGGATAAAATCTGTAGGGAAATTAGCGGCAGCAAAAAAAGATTTAACTATAAAAGATTGACCATAGTCTCACTCTCATTAGCTTTCTGGGAGATGAGTAATATTGAGGTAACAATATTGCAGAGTATTACTTGGGAAAATATTTTCGAAACCATATCTGATTAAACTGTTTATTCTGGTTTACATGCAGTGTGTTATCTAAAAAAGAATTCCACAATGGAAATTTTTATTATACAGGGCATTAAAAAAACCATGATTCTGAATCAATGATTTTGAAGATTAATAAAAAAGATAAAATTTCTGAGCATGAGCTCCATAAAAATAATGTGGTAATAAATCGTATTTTGTTGTTTATTCTAGCTATTATAATTAATATGTCTTGGAAATGGATACTTGTGCGTGTGAAGATCTATTAATTTAATTTTTTGGTCTACGGGTGCTCCAATTATAATATTCATTATAACGGACAAAGAATACTTGAGTCATTACAAGAAGGGATCCTAGGGTTCAAATTCTATCTGTATAATTAGGGCCCAAAATGAGTGCACTGTAAAAAATATTTATTTCGTCCGAAAGATAAAGATTGAATCGACTCTGGTTAAATAAAAGTTGAAGAATTGGAAATCTTTGACATCATAGTGAGGATAAGGGAGGCCTTTCTGTTGGAATATGTGAATCTGAACACAATGAAAGGTGTGTTTAAATTGATACGGGGGAAAATTTTAGATCAGGCCAGATACAAAATATGTTCAAGGTTTGACTAAAATTGATGGATTGATGGGTGTGAGAGAATTAAAATTTGTGAATTTCAAGAGGTTTTGCTGATTGGGGTTGAAATAAGGGGAACAAACGGTATCGTCCAATCCCGTCCATTTTAGGGTGACATAGCAATGGTGGGAGGTAATTCGGGGGACGAAGTGATTTAAAATGAGGAGGCGGAAGATGACGGAATATGACATGATGGAAACGATGCTGGATAGGATGGAGTGTTTTGTTAATGGGTATATTTGCTTATGTGGACATAGAATTTTCTGGTGTCAGAAATCCGTTATGTGTTTTGAAAACACTTATAAATAAATAAATGGTGACTTTTATTCTAGAAGGTATCTATATGTAAGCCTGCGTGTTTCAAGAAAAGATATTGATAAAGTATGTTAAGGAACTCGGATATGTTCTATCAAAATGGTCTACTTTCTTTAAGATAAACTCTTCTTCATATGAACAACAACAATTCATTGGAGATAATGCGGTTTACTTTTTGGCAAAGTCGTGATAAAAATTTTTACGTATGGAAATTACATGTCAATTCTTATTTGTTCAAGATTTGTTTTGAAATGCTTAACAAAGAGAATTCGGGCTTATGAAATTTTATTAGTAGCAAAAGTAAGAAAGTCGAGGTCAATAAATTTAAAAAAATTTTCTGAAATTTCCGTTTATTCGTTTTGTAACAAGTTGTAAACAAGTTGTACAATTTGTGAGACAAGTATTGTAGAAAATGATGTCAAATTTGAAAGAAATTAAATTAGTGTGAGCTGAATTATGTATTCGAACGATAGATTTCCATGGTAACGATAAAAAATGGTTTTTACTTGTAACAACTACACATCGTTCGGCCGGGAGAGCTTTCGCTGATGGAGCAGTTGATGGCGTTGCAGTGATTTTGAAATGCATCGCCGGCAGGGAACATACAAATTGCGTAATTCACACTCTGACCTTCCAAGCAGTTGGTGAATGCACCGTGATCTTCTTCACACATGGCGTACAGTTTCTGGCAGAAATCTGTACAAGGCTCAAACATTAGTTTCCCTCAAGCTAACAGGTTAACAAATTATTACCGTGTGGAGTGACTTTGATACTTTGTCATATTAGATGCATACGATTGAACTGGATGGCGTAATAATAATTTTCACAAATTTTTTTACCACACACGGAAAAAGTTAATAACAAATAGAGTAAAATGTTTCAAAATTTATGTATATATTTATAACGTTCATGAAGAGAATAACAATAGATAATTGCATACGGTAATGATTTGTTATGAAGATTTTATGTAGAGAGGATATTAAAATTGCTATGGATTTAGAGGTTGTTACCTGTCTTTTGACAGTTGGCAGGTAGGCCCAAACAGAGGGTAATGATAAGGAACGGGGTTATCTTCATGGTGGATATTCGTTTGGACGAAATCTTGCTGGAAAAATTAAATGTTTTGTTTATTCTACAATAATTGCTTAACAAAAGGTAAACCTTTGTTATTCTTTATTTTATTTTTTAATTTCTATAGGTTGATTTGTACTATGTGTCAGTTGGTTGCAGTTTATTACGAAAACGGGAAACATTATTAAACATAGTGTACATTTGATTATACTACGCGGATGGTTAATAATTTGCAACCGGTTTTATGTTTAAAAACTTACGCAAATTAAACCTTGTTTGTATGGAAAATAACTATGTGATTTACATAAACGGTGTGTATTTTCTAATCTGGATCCGACCCTGTTCCCTTGAGGAGAGGAAGGCGACTGGAATGAAATTTTAGGTTGAAGCCAATCTTTTTTTTCACAAAAAGCTGTTTTTCAGAGGTAAATGTGTCAAAAAGATCAGTGCTGGATAACTTGATGGGTAAAATTATTTTGTGAAAGTTTTTTAAATGCGCAACCCAAATCATGATTGCAATGACAAGATTGTAATTTTTATATTTTTATATTGAAGACTTTTTTAAGTGCAAACTTTGTGGCGTCCAATTTCTTTTAATAAGAGACAAATAAGTTTAAATTTAATTTAAATATAAATTTAATTTAAATATAAATTTAATATAAATTTAATGTATCAACCATAATACCACAAGGAATTAAAATTAATTCGAAGTTTTTTAACTCCGAAACTAAATATTAGTTTCTGGGCATTGGCGTCGTAGTTTTAATTATAGTTTGAATGAATCATAGTTACATGTAGCAAGATAATAATTTGTTAGCGTATTATGTATTTTATTTAATGCAAAAAAGCCAATTCACGAGCATATTTTTACTAAG